TTTTTATGTCCGCGGGTTTAAGCGACCCCAATAACGTGTATTTTAGCCCCCGGAAAACGATTTTTACCGGGGGACCCCCTCGAAACGCAGTTAGTTGGGGCTAGATTTGGGCTAGGTTTGAGCAGCAATTGGGCGGGTTTTGTTGTGAAAACCTGGCAACCCTTTCCGTCAAGCAGGTAACTTTATTATTGCTAACACGCGACTCATTGAAAAATTAATTGGCATCATCTGTATTAAAGAGAAAATAATCACTTCATCCAATGTTTAAGTGAATTAAATAGCCTTGACAGCCTTACTTACTGGAGTTACACACCTATTGACTTTGTTCTCTCTCTTGTTCTGACTTGTGTGTGTGTGTGGGTAATGTAACAGGGGAAAGCAGGCATTTGGACCAAAGCACTGTGAGGCAAGGGAGGCGGAGTCTCACAGCACAACCCAGATGTTCGAATTTGTGCAACGCATCTTATGGACGACAGTTTTGTGAACCTAGGAAAGTAGTCTACAAGGCTGGCTGTGCAAAGGCTATTTCTAAAAAAAAATGGGTCAATTCCGACTTTGCTATGACAATCTGGCGCTTATTCTGAATCAGCTACTGTAATTGTTTTCTTAATAGTTTAAGTTTTTGCTATTAATTGTTCAAATGCGGAGTATTGCGCCGTGTAGAGTATCACGTCGTGTGTGTGTGTGTGAGAGAGAGAGAGACAGGGTCACATACATCACAGTGGAGTCAGCTTTCTTAATCGCGGCTTGTGTACTGCAAATACATACGAGCATCATCACTGTGTCTGTCACGCGACTGTTCCCCTTTCGGGCTTGAACCGATGGTAAAACTAATGACATTATTTACTGTCTTTACATTTATTTTGAAAGCGATGATAATTCATTATTACGTTTTTCCAAATTAAAAAAATATTTTGTATTTTTCTCATCTTGTTCAATCCATTTCTGTCTACTTCTTATAAAGGCACCTTTAGCTTTGTCTAAATAAATTGTATCTAATTGTAACTGCAAGGACGCCAGTTGTTTGAGCTCTTCATTTGTTAAAATTCGTTTACAGGATAATTTCATTATTTCTTCAATTAATTTGTTTTCTTTCTCTTTTTTTACTTTAGCCATTTTTTTCCCTATACCTATAGCTATGCTTCTTATTTCGAATTTCATTAATTCCCAATTTTGACCAAATTTATTAAGAATACATGCCCGTTTCCAATATTTTTCTATCATTTCAATGGCTTTATTTTTAAACCCTTCATTCTCTAACAAGGTTTTATTTCATTTCCAATAGTTTGTTTTAGGACCAGCCGGATTTTCAGCATCTTTGTTGAGTTTAATCATTATAGCCTTATGATCTGTTAATACTGAAGTTTCAATTTTCACTAATTCAATATCATCGGCACTATTTGCAGAAATTAGCCAAAAATCAATACGAGAGTGTTTAGTCAGATCATTATTACTCCAGGTATACATTCTTTGATGTGGGTAAGTACATCTCCAGATATCTAAAAGATCCATTCTTGCACATATGTCTTTTAATATACTTGTTTTTACATTGTTTTTAGGGGGCCATCGGTCAATTTCTTCATCCAAAACAGTATTAAAGTCCCCACCTCAAATAATCTTTGCACAAGGAAATTTGGAAGTCAGTTGGTTAATTTTACTTTCAATTGTTAACAACTCTGTCTCTTTCTATGGCTCTGGGCTTTGTAGAAAACGTAAAATAGCATCATATGACCCCTTTAAATGAATTCTGACCCTGTATGAAAGCTAATATGAGGAAAGTGACATATTGTTTTGATATTAAATTAGATATCCACTGGTGTGTTCTTTAGTGTTGTTGTGAGTCCTATTTGACCTCTGGTTCTTATTTGACTGTTGATGGATTCACTTCAGTGTAAAGATGTTTTGTGTGGAGCAGAAGATTGCAAGGTTCATATTGGCAAGAGAGAAAATGGACAAAACTTTTTTTTTGTTTTTTTTTTGCTTCACCCACAAACTACTGACACACACAGCAACCACAAACATCCAGCAGAAGCCGTTTATCCACCGACAGATCAAAACCTAACCAGATTTCTGTACAGATAAAACAGGCAAACCATAGCAGGTTTCATTCTCGCTCACAAACTGAGCTGATTTCATTATTTCATCAAAATATTTCATTCATTTTGCGTGTGTATGTGTGTGTGTGTGCATATATATATATATATATATGTATAATTTTATTCAAATTATATTCGTTTTATATGAAATCTTTATGAAAAAGTGTGTATATATATATATATATATATCAAAGATTTCATATTTTGAATAATAAAACGAGTTTTTTTTTAATGACAGATGTGACTCTTCTGTTGTATCTTTGCCCTATTTTGTAATCTACACTTTCTCGTTTCTTTAAATGAAAATAAACACTAAACACACGTATTAGGTGCGTTCCATTCGACCGTAAGTGGACTACACAGGGTATTTCGCCATCTTAAGTGAGATTCCAATCCCTTGGAAATGCCTTGCTTAGGGAGTAGGGAGCCGTGAACACTGCAGAGGGACCCTGACAATCGGAACGCACCTATTGTGTTTTATCAGAGGGAGATAAAGTACAATTCTTCATAAATTATAAATAATGAATAAATAAAAATAAAATACTGGAAAGGATTTTCCTCAGATCTCATTTGGCATATTTGAAGGAAGGTTTGCAGATGGTTCGTTATGAAACTCCATTAAATCGACGCAATAAATAACTGTAAAGGTTTATAAAAACAGTCGACTCGAGGAAGTGAAACCAGATCCTCATCCGCTTCCGGTGACTTCGGAACGCTCGCGACGTTGTCATGGAGAACAAGGACGGGCGTCGCGTTCCGTCGTAAACATGGGATATAGACAACAACCGTGCGATTTGCTCGGTTTCAATCGAGACGAGGCTTTTTGGTGACATGTTGTGTTTATGTTATGCATGTGAAAAAGCAAACTGTGTCTAGTTTAACAAATTGGCGATGTTTACTAACTAGTCAAGATGTGGAGTCATGGAGGAGGGAGTTCAGCTCTGGACCGGGCGAAGGCTCAGCTCTCTGGACAGAGAATCTCAAACAATGGGATTTCAAAGGACAAAAGAGATGTGGTTAGTGTGTGTTACACAATTGCTCTACATTCGACATGAAACCAAAAAGAACGCTGTTTACATTCTTAATACACGTTTCTGGTGTTATTGTACACGATTCATCACGTTAATTCTTTGTAATAAATCTGAAACGACTTTACTGTTCAGCTGACTTCACCGAGGCCGCGCAGTATTATCAATATACAAATACTAGCTTTTTAGTCAAGCTTTTAGCCTACTGTTATGTATGGAAGCCCGTTTCCGCCACTGAATAAAAAATAAAAAAAAGGTAATTGCGACTTTTTATCTCGCAGTTCTGACTTTTTTTTCACAGAATTGTGAGATATAAAGTCAGAATTGCGAGATATAAAGTCAGAATTCTGATTTTTTCTCAGAATTGCGTGATATAAACTCACAAATGCGAGATATAAAGTCAGAATTGCGAGATATAAAGTCAGAAATGCGTGATATAAAGTCAGAAATGCGTGATATAAAGTCAGAAATGCGTGATATAAAGTCAGAAATGCGTGATATAAAGTCAGAAATGCGTGATATAAAGTCAGAAATGCGTGATATAAAGTCAGAAATGCGTGATATAAAGTCAGAAATGCGTGATATAAAGTCAGAAATGCGTGATATAAAGTCAGAAATGCGTGATATAAAGTCAGAAATGCGTGATATAAAGTCAGAAATGCGTGATATAAAGTCAGAAATGCGTGATATAAAGTCAGAAATGCGTGATATAAAGTCAGAAATGCGTGATATAAAGTCAGAAATGCGTGATATAAAGTCAGAAATGCGTGATATAAAGTCAGAAATGCGTGATATAAAGTCAGAAATGCGTGATATAAAGTCAGAAATGCGTGATATAAAGTCAGAAATGCGTGATATAAAGTCAGAAATGCGTGATATAAAGTCAGAAATGCGTGATATAAAGTCAGAAATGCGTGATATAAAGTCAGAAATGCGTGATATAAAGTCAGAAATGCGTGATATAAAGTCAGAAATGCGTGATATAAAGTCAGAAATGCGTGATATAAAGTCAGAAATGCGTGATATAAAGTCAGAAATGCGTGATATAAAGTCAGAATTCTGACTTTTTCTCAGAATTGTGAGATATAAACTCGCAATTGCGAGTTATAAAGTCAGAATTGAGTGATATAAATTCGCAATTGCGAGTTAGTCCAATTTTGAGGGGGGAAAAAAGACTGATATGTTCTCAGAATTGCGAGTTTATATCTCACAATTCTGAGAAAAAAAGTCAGAACTGCGAGTTTGTATCACGCAATTCTGAGACAACAAATAGTTATGGAAGCCCCTTTGCGGCACTGAATAAAAATAAAAATAAAAGGTTATTGTGACTTTTTGATACTCACTTTTTTATATCTCACAATTCTGACCTTTTTCACAGAATAAAATCACAGTTGTGAGTTATAAAGTCAGTATTGTGAGATATACTCAAAATTATGACTTTTTTTCTCAGAATTACGTCATATAAACTCACAATTGCGAGATAAAAACGTGCAATTGTGATTTTTCTCAAATACGAGTTTCTCGCAATTGCGAGTTTATAGCACGCAAATCTGACTTTATTTCTCAGAATTGCGACTTTGTATCATATGTAAACTCGCAATTGCGAGAAAAAAAGTCAGAATTGTGAGATGAAAAAGTCAAAAAAAATTTATTCAGTGGCGGAAACAGGCTTCCATACACTGTTGAAAGTAATGTTGCCTTTGCAAAATTTGTAGGAATAATGCAGTATTTTAATGCCGTTTAATGTTATTGTAACAAAGGTTAGGGCAATCATAGCACATAATAATGATAGATTTAAAAATAAATAAATAAAAAAAGCGGCATTACAATTGGGATATGTGGAGATCATGTTACCGACTCCGTTATTAAATGTCTGTGGTGTGTTGCAATAACTCTTGTTTACCCAGGAAAACTCTGGAAAATTCGTGTCACTATCCAGGCAGATGCAATTCCAGGATTTGAGTGAAGTCTTTTCGGCATCAGAGAGTGAAAACCAGGACCCTGCGAAGACTACGACATTGGAGAGTTTCAGCTTGGGTGGTGGGAGCCGATTTCTGAAGAAGACCTCCAAAGATGCCACTGGAGACAGAGTGTCATCTGCTCCTAGAAGAACTCCTGCAGGAACGTTCATACCTCAAAGCAGTTCACAAAGCACAGCTTTGAGTAGGCTAGCGCTCATCGAGAACCGTATCAGAAACCAGAAAACCAAAAGCGACGGCCCTAGTATCGATACAAACCTCTCAGAACCACAAGAGACACGTATATCTTTACAGTCCAGCAGTGATCTGAGCATGACAGGGAATCGCTTTCTAAAGAAGAGGACTGTGTCCACACCTCGAGAGCAAAAGGTTCCTGAGAGAACATCTGGTCTGAATGAACGTAAAGAAAGGAGAGTCAGTTTAGACAGCGACGAACAGGACATGCGAACACTTCTAGGAGATTCTTTTAGCTTATCAGAAGGTTCCTTGCAAAATGCAGTGAGGCAAAAGAGTCCTCAACCAGTTAAAAAGGTATTAGAACAGTAAAATTGTTGTTTGACCCCAGTTTACTCTCCTGTCCTATCATTCTAAACCAGTATGACTTTCTTCTTTTCCAGTTATACAAGAAGAGCAGTGAAAAGTCCACCGTACCTTCGCCAACTACTGAAAGACATAAAGTTCTCACCCATCAAAGTCTTTCTCCTCCCCCCAGCAGGCCTGAGTCACGCATGGTCCAGTTTACTGAACATTCAGTGTCCTCTGAAACGGATCACAGTGAGATCCGGTCTTTGGACGATCTTTTTCCTGTTGCTGCGGCACCTGATTCTGATGATACTCTGAGCGAGAGGAGTGCAGTATTGGATGGTAAAACACCTGTGGATTCAACATCTAGCAATCATCTGAAACCTTTCATAACTATTGTTCAATTGAATTGTTCACTGTGTTTTAAACATTTTTTCTCTTGATGATCTACCCACAGATTTTAAACTGAACGTAATGACACTGGATGATCTTGCCCCTATACCATTTGAAGCAGCTGAAATCTCACAAGAAAAGGTGTGTTGAACATGTCATATCGGGACATAATTTACGCAAGATTTTTTAAAACTGAAAAACATTGTCTTTAATCACAGAAAGAAACACAAGCCAGACAGGAAGACAGAAACAAGAAGTCATACAACATTTCAAATGTTGCTTCACCACCCACACCAGAAGGGGCCTCGGCTGCCTACGAGAGTGATTTTGAGAGCGAGCTCCCATCTGAGACGCTAGAGAGCGCCAGTGAGATCTCCGAGCGTCTCACAGATAAAGACAAAGATGCCTCACTGATCAGCGAGGCCCAGTACAGCTCATACAAATCCCAGGATGGCGATGACGATGACCATAATTTATCACAGTCGTCGTCATCCAGTCGCCACTCAGACTCTTCCTCGAGGTCTACCTTATCCAATGCGACAGTCACACACGGCCCCAGTCCTAATGGTCACGTGAAGGAGGTTGCAGTACAGACTCCGATGGATGGACTAAATTACACATGGTCTTCTGGTAGGTTTATGTTATCCGATATTTCAGTCAAGTCAAACTCACGAAACCCATCAAGAACATGTCTAAATCATATTTGAAACTCCATTTCATTGGGGCGTCCCTCAGGGTTATAGTTTAGGACCACATTCATTCTTGTTCTGACTGAAATGTATTTGGGAGAATATTACGAAATCCATCAAGAACATGGATAGATCATATTTAAAGCTAAATTTTTTGGGGGGCGTCCCTCAGGGTTAGAGTTTAGGACCACTTTCATTTCTTGTTTTGAGGAAAATGTATTTTGGGTGAATCTAACAAAAACTGTCAAAACATGTATAGATCATATTTGAATCATTTCTTTGGCGCGTCCCTCAGGGTTAGAGTTTAAGACCACCTTCATTCTTGTTTTGAGGAAAATAAATTTGGGTGAATCTAACAAAAACTGTCAAGAACATATCTAGGTCATATTTTGTCTTAACATCAAAAGAAATTTGTTGTGCATCATGACTATTTTCATGACGTTTAAGCACATTTTCCTCCAAAATTCCCATTACCATACTGGCAAAAAACCTAGAAAGACGTGTTTTTGTGAGATCCACCCATTTATGTCAGCATTTTTTTCAGGCATAGCTGCTGTTGGTCCGTCACTGGGCATGACGTACGTGGACCCTACTCCAATAGCCAGTCACACAGTCAGCGCTGAAGCCATCGAGAGTAAGAATTACAATATGATCTACACGCTTTACGTTTGAATAACTCTGAACCTAGAAAACAAGAACATCTCAAGTGGTTACTATAAACAATCAGAACATTTTAGTCACTGAGAAAAATCCTCTGCTTCCTAGTTGAACTAGCTCATTGTCTTCCATGCCAACAGGTTTGACGGCATACAGTCCTGCTGTTTTTGCACTCAACGACATGTTGCGGCAGCAGTTGGCCCTTACTAGAGGATTCATCGACTCCACCAGACGTCACTACACGTCAATGATCGAGTCACTGGGACCTGCCGACTACAAATACACCACACTAGAGGATACTAAAGAGGTAAGATTTTGACGAGGAAAGAAAATGAGGCTGTGAGGGTTAGACATACAACTGTTGTAACAAATTTATATCAAAACATTTTTATATATTTCTTTCATAATATCTTTAGAGTTTGCTAACAGGACTTTATTTTTGTTCTAGTTTATTCGTGCTCACAGGCCACCCAAACTGAGTATTGAAGACGCTTTAGATGAAGTTCTACAGGAAATGAGAGACTATTACAGTTGAATAAACAGATGATCAACGTTTTGGATGCATCATCCATAGATTAATAACAGCCAAAACTTTTCAATCATTGTTCATGCAATAACGTGACTAAAATAAACCAGCATTTTTCAGTATCTGTTCATTGTGCTTCACTTCAATCATTCATGCATAAATGAAATGTTTACATAAACACGGTGCCCTTTTTCAAACATCTTTATTTTGCTTGTACAGAGTCTCAGATTAATCAAAGCAAATGCTTGCAATGACACGGACAATTTCTGTGAGTTACAATATGATGCGTTGATGCATTTTACTACAGAAAGAAAGAAACTCGAGAGCGACGAGAACATCCAAACGAATCTGAAAAACAGCTTTATGACAGCTACAGTAAAAAAAAAACAGATCACGGGTGATCACTCTGTGCTGGAGGGCTCCTGGGGGTCTCTGGTTACTGTGGACAAAAAAAAGATTTAAACACATTCATACTTGGTTATAATTAATAGTAAGTTCAATACATATGGTTAATAGTTTGATCAAACCCCTAACCCTAATTATTAGCATCAATATTAGTGATGTTTGACTTGGAAAACAGGCTGCTGCTAATTTTTAGGTCTCTATTTTACAAACACAAATACCTTTTTCTCGTGCTTTCATCCTTGCGACAAAATTGTAGCTTTTGTTTCGCCTGTAGTTCACGTACGGGTCGTCCAGTTGGACTCCCACTCCTTTATACTGGTCCCACTTGTCCCGGATGTCTCCTCCTTTGATGGGGTCTTGAATGCCCTGTTCTTTAGCACCAAGACCTCCTGATCCACTCCAGCCTACAGGACGAACAGGAAGAGATTTAGCACTGGATCAACGGAAAGATCGGTTCATGGCGGCGTTTGTTGATCACTTACCCATCTTCATGAGCATCTGATGGCCTTTGTTTTCTTCACCCAGCCTGAGGTCGACGGGTAACGCAGCAGGACCTGAACCCAAACCAGATGTGGAGCTGCGGAGAGAGACCGTATTTTCATGTCAACGTCATGCTTAATCGCTATTTGGTTTGGGTAAATTTTTATTTAATTTATTAGGTGAAAATCATTATTTGGTAAAATCTGCAAACATTTCTTTTTATGTCAGATGGGACGACAGCAATGATTATACCACCAATTATAATAGTTTACAATTTTTTAATCATGCAGCACAAGAAATTTAGCTTTAGTCCCGATATTTGACTTGTGAAGGTCAAAGTAAATGTGAAGAGTTGACAAAAATAAATAAATTTAAAAAATACAGTCATAGACACTGCAATCTGGATGGGATACATTTTTTATAATTTTTTCAGCAAGCACCGCAACAAGATATTTTGTTTTTGTTACAATATTTAACTTAGTTTTTTAACTTATTAGTTTTTAATAATTTGTTTTTTATATGAAATTTCACTAAATAAAAATGTTTTTTTATTTTATTTTTTTTATAAAAAAATAATAAAGAAAAAAAACAATGAAAAATATAACAATATTAAATAATTTAATTTAATAAAAATTGAATTTTAATTAATTAGTCATATCTATACCAAATAAACCTTTGTGGAAAAACCTGATACAGATGAGATCACAAAGCAAAAATCTGCTTTTCAAATGTGAACTGGACTTGGGTAACGAAAGCAAATCGACTTACGGTGGCGTCGGACTGCGTGATTTTGCAGCGTGGCGACGCTTGTCTGGAGATCGTGACCTGGAGCGAGATCTGGAGCGGGAGCGACTTTGGGATCTGGATCTGGAGCGACTCCTGCTCCTACAGGAGAAAGTCAAAAAATGTGTTCAACAACTTCCTGTGGCTGGAAAAAATGGTTTAAATGTCAAAGCAGATATTTTTTTGGGATACCTAGAGTGAGATCTGGAGTAGGAGCGAGAGCGAGAACGAGAGTGGGATCTGGATCGGGATCTGGAGCGAGAGGATTTGGAAGACCTGGAGCTGGAGCGTGATGTGGATCGTCCTCGGCTGCGTGACCGACTGCGGGAGGGACTCCCTCGGGTGCTGCAAAAAAAAATACCAACAAGGAAACAATGGGAATTACTTCTGTTTGGTCGCATCTGAATTCCAGTGTCATTTTAGTATTGGTAGTAGGAATGCCAACAATTAATCGACGATCGATAATAGCTGGCGATTAAAAAAAATAATTCCTACAATTTGTTAATTCGTTCCTAGGACTTATTAATTTTGTGGCCACGGTCCACGTTTCTTTAATTTGTTCCCAAGTTAACTCATGATTTAACTAAAATGAGGGAACGAACGAATTAATAAGTCGTAGGAACGAATTCTTAATTATTTCTCTTGTAAACAAAGCTTTGTACCTCACCTGTGTCATAATATTCACGTAAACAATGTTTCATATGAGCACCGCCGGTGGAAGCGGTTATCACTGACCGACCACGCGCTGTAGTTACGTTTGGGATTATTTTATTTTAAGTGGCAATAATGTTAATTGCAAACATTGCTATTGTGTTTTGAAATACAGTAACGAGCACCGTGAAACCATTTTAGAAAGGCATATTCAGCGTCTCCGTGACAAGATAGGAAACAGCCAACAATAACCTCCATTTAAAGTAAAATGACCCTCATTTCATCAAATGATTATAATCACATCTATTCGTTTTACAATCCTACTACTATGCTTTTATTTAGACTAAAATATAGTATACTATAATAGTATTTATTAACATTTTTAATCAGGTTTTCGTTTTATATTTTCAGTTTTCATTTTAATTTTTATTTCAGTTTAATTTTTTGTAATTTTAGTTTACTATTGTAGTATAGTAGTAATATTATAGTTGTATTTTTTAGTTTAAGCTTTCATTTAAATTTTAGTTTTAGTAATTTTTTTTTAAATTTCTATTAGTTTTTTATATTAAGTTTTTATTTCAGTTTTAGTCTTAGTAAATTTAACACCAACTTATTTTATTGCAGTGAGTTGCAAAGGCAACATTTGTAATTTTTGTGTAGCTTAAGCTTTTTCAATGAACATTCACATTTTATTTCAGTTTTATTTAAACTAACAAAATTAATAGTGTAATAGTTGTTTTGTTAGAATACATTAAAACAGTTCATTTAATCCCCACCTGTTGCGTTTGTCTTGGTCCTTTTTCCGCCTTGCTCTCATTTTGGCCCGGAAGAACTCATACAGACCATTCTGTTCCCAACCCTCACTGGAAAAATCATCATTTTCAGTTATTACAACTGAAGTATTGAATAAAAATGACCAAAAAATGGCAACAACTCAGGAGCAGTCACACTGGCGTCACCTGTTTCTGGGTCTGTCGTGGGACGGCGGGCTGTAAAACGCCTCCACTGCGGCCAGCAGACGCTCACTGGGAGGCATCGGGGGCGGCAGACGGATGTCTTTGGGGTCCAGAGGCTTATAATCGTGATCTTCAAGCTATCATCAAAGAGAAAGTATCACCTTTAGCATGAGACTGACAAAAACCAACTTTCCCAGCTGACGCCGAATGCAAAATCACCTTCACAAGCGGCGCCATGAGTCCTGCGGGAAGGTCGAAGTAGGGCACGTTGGGAACCAGGCTGGGGTCGTCCTGACTGACGTGAGCCGGGGTCTGGCGCCGCATGTGGGGCGCCTGACCGTTAAACCCGTGAGGAGGCGGTCCGAAATCGGGATGCTGGTTCCCGCCCCACGGAGGAGGATCAGACATCCCGGGAGGGGGAATCCTCTGGTTCGGGTGGTGATGAGGAGGCGGACCGATCTCTGATATGAGAAGAACAATACAATGTATGACATACCTGGAAAGTTGAGTCCTACTTACGCCAAGTCTAAAATTTCAGCGCACACAAAAAAAAAACATGCTAGGCAAAACTGTACAATGCAACTATAAGCTCCACTAAATTTCTATTTTCTATTACTATTTTATATTTTTTACATTCTATTTATTTTTAATCAAATTTTGTTTTATACAAAATTAGAATTTGTGATAAAAAAAAACTTGCAAAATCTGAAAACAAAACAATTTGCGTATTTGTTTTTTTTCACTTGTTTAAAACTAAGGCAGAAAAAAAAAACTATTTGTTAAGTATTAAAATATTACACCACAATATGTGTATTTTTTTATTTTGTAAAACAGTTCAATTAAAATATAAAAATACGCATCTATTTTATTTTTTATTTGGAAAACAGGTTAATTTAAACATTAAATTATTATACAACAATATGCGTCCAATTTGTTTTTCTTGATTTATTTATTATTTATTTATTTTATTAATAATTAATTCAAGTATTTCAAGACTACTTTTTATAATTACTGTAATATTCAAAACAGTGTTTTATTATTTAAACCGTAAAAATTAAACATCAATAAATAAATATATTACTATTACAAAAATACTGTAAAGTAAAACAATTAAAATAAACTGTGCTGTAAAATAAAAATGAGTATTTAATATTTTTGATTGGTCACATCTGATTTCCAGTGTTGTTTTAGTATCAGTAGTATACTATAATAGTATTTATTAATATTTTGAATTAGGTTTAATTTTTTGTTATATATTTTCATTTTCATTTTAGCTTAAGTTGACTAATTTTTGTTGTTTCTTATATTTATATTACATTTTTAAGCTTTCCTTTTAGTAATTTTAGTACAGTATTACAGTATTTACTAGTATTTTGAATAAGGTTTACATTTTTATATTTTCAGGGTTTTTTATTTTCATTTTTTCCATATATCCCTATTACAATAATGCTGTAAAATAAATAATTAAAATAACTGTACTGTAATTTAGTAATCATAATTTAATTTTACAGAACAGTGAAATTACAACATATTTATGTCTAAATTTCTTAACTTTCAAACGTTAAACCTCAGATTTAAACAATTGGCATGGGTAGAAAATATGTCAACACATAAATGTGGAAAATCCAAATTTTTTCCACAAAATCACATTCTTACAGTATTTTTTGCATTAAATTCAACAACTTACGTAAATACTGCTTAACTAATAAATAAAATAAAGTCATTCTGCGTACGTGTAACTCTAGTGGTTTTCCGAATAGTAAAGCTGAGGTCTCACCTCCTGGGAAGTCTCCCTGCGGGTAGTCGAATCGGTGCGGTGGATACGGCGGCCGCTCAAAGTGATGCCGCGGAGGAAACTCGTCCTGCATGAAGCGCGGCGGGAAGCGACCGAAGTTGTGTGGCGGCGGCGGCGGCGGCTGGTTGAACGGTGGTGGCTGCTGGTGTGGAGGGAAGGGCCCGCGAAAATGCGGAGGACGCTGCATGCGGAAGGGAGGCTCCCTCTGGCCCCACGGTGGCGGCTGATCCGGCTGGCTGCTCCACGGCGGCTGGTCGAACTGGCCGCTCCAGGAGGGCGGTGGCTCGTTCTGGCTACTCCAGGGGCCTGCGGGGCCCCCGTCCCGAGGGCCGCTCCAGTTGGGGTCCCGCTGCTCGTTCCACATGCCCTCGTGGCTGTTCCAGGGGGGCGGGGCTTGAACTGGGGCGAATGGTGGCTGGAGGCGGAAACATTGAATATGTTAGCATTGGTGCCGTGTTGATTACTTACATATTGTAAAATAAAACTTTTAAAACGTTCTTAGACAAAATTAATTAAGTTCAGTTCAAACAACTTGTAAAAGTGCATGTAGCATCATATGACCACTTTAATTTAAGACTTTAAATTTATGTAATAATATATTCACATTTAAATATAATATATAATGTATATATAGTACATTTAATATTTAATAAAATTGTAATTAGTAATCTATTATGCTACATTTGAGGTAATATTAGATTACTTTTAGATTACTTCTAACCTAACTCGTTTATCACATTGATTTAAATAGGATACTCTTGTTCCATATTGATATAAAAATACAAAGAGTTTTCTGGATTTTCTGAAACAGGGTTGTGAATGAAACGCAGGGGGTTCATAAATTGATTTTAGAATAAAAAAATTAAAAGCTAGAAAAAATTAAGGAAAAATCAATTATGAACAATTTACTGCCATTGTGTGAGTAAAATGCAACCAATAAAATAGTAACTGTAATCCGATTATGAGCATTTTAAAACAGTATAATCTAATTACAAATATTTAATATTTGGAGTCTGATAATGCAGATCACTTATAATCAGTTACTGAGTTAGTATTAATACACAGCTGCAAACAGCGTAAGATCTGTGAGATTTTACAGCATTTCATTCACTTACGGGTTGTTGCGGGTTCCACGCTGGCATGTTGTGCTGCGGCTCGAACCAGCCGGGTTTAGAGGAGGGAATGTCGGACGACGCTGCTGGGTTCGAGTCTGATGGTCGGTTCTGAGGGCCTTCGTAATCAGCGGGTGTGGGACCGGCCCCTGGAGGTTTCAGATCTCCTGATGACATCATACAAAATATCAATTTCCATATTACGAGCCAAGAATGACATCACAATTAATCACATATAAGCAAAAATAACATCATACGTGACCCTGGACCACAAAACCAATCATAAGGGTCAATTTTTCGAAATTGAGATTATAAATGTTTTGTCTATTTATGTAAAGCACCACTGTAGTCATAAATAATCCTAAAGAGGGTTAATAAAGCAAACTGGAGAATAAATGCACATGATGTAAAAACTGACATGCAAATTGGGGTGTTATTTTTAATGTTTTTGAAAGTCTCTTCTGCTCACCAAGGCTGCATTTATTTGATCAAGCATACCATAAAAACTGTAAAACTGTAAAATATTATTAGAATTCAAAACTGCTTTCTATGTGAAAATGTAATTTATTTCTGTGATCAAAGCAGAATTTTCAGCATCATTACTCCAGTCTTCAGTGTCACATGATCTTCAGAAATCATTCTAATATGCTGATTTGCTGCTCAAGAAACATTTCTGATTATTATCAGTGTTGAAAACAGTTGTGTTGCTTCATATTTCTGTGGAAACTGCGATACATTTTATTTTTCAGGATTCACAGATGAACAGAAAGTTCAAAAGAACAGCATTTATTTGAAATGGAAATCTTTTGTAACATTATAAATGTCTTCACTGTCACTTCTGATCAATTTAGTCCTTGCAGAATAAAAGCATTAATATCGTTCTAGCCCCCAACTTTTGAACAGCAGTTTTTCCATAAGAGACTTTGTCTGCATGTGATGTCAAATATGCACTATTTGTTTATTTTATTTGGAAAAAAAAAAAAAATTCCATTAATTTAAGAATTTAAATATATGTAATAATATATTCACATTTAAATATAATATATAATGTATATATAGTACATTTAATATTTAATAAATTGTAGGTTACTGATTTCAAATTACATGACGAAAATTGTAATTAGTAACAATCTATTACGCTACATTTTAGCTAATATAAGGTTACTTTTAGATTACTTCTGACTTAAATCGTTTATCACATTGATTTGCACGTGATGTCACATATGTTTTTTTCCCAGGTTGACCTAAAACTTATTTCAGATAGTTTCCATACATACCGTATTGTCCCGAATATAAGACGATGTTTTTTTCTTGGAAATACATCTGAAAAAACGCGGTCCTCTTATATTCAGGGTCTAGACTTTGACATGTCAATAATACACCCACAACACTAGGTGGCGCCAAATACGCATAAAACGATTGTGCCATGAAATAGTAATGTAATGCCTGTTGTAAAGATGGCGAGTAAACAGCTGCATGAGTCGTGACTGTCACCTTAGCCTGATGGGACCAAACTCCCTGATTTTAAAACGTAAGACAGTACCCAGATCTGAAGACTACAGTAAGATTTAACTTCGACTGTTAACAAGATTTTGGTAGGCTACTATTAGATGGATAGCCTAAATGTCCTAATTCAGATGGGCTACCTGTTTATTTTTTATTTTTTATTTTTTTTATGGTATATCAAAAAGTGCATATTTTTTAAATGTGATTGTTGGTACATTTTACCAGTTTTTACCATACTTTCAAAACAAAAATTAAAATAGAAAAAATATGCAATATGAAAATAATTGAAGACAAAATGTGTTTTACTGAGAAAAAAAAAATTTGTTTTTTAAAAAGCCTTTTTCCAAAAGGTACATCTGGGAAAAAGGGGGGTCGTCTTATAATCAGGGTCGTCTTATATTCGGGCCAATACGGTATATAATCTTCATTTAGTGTAAGATAAAGCTCTAAAATTGCTACAACTAAAATTAAAATAAATTATTTGTAATATTTATTTAATATAAAAACTCTCATTTTTTAAGATATCGTAATATAAATAGATTACTAAAATATTATAAATAATAATATTATTATTTTTTATTTTTTTATTTTATTATAAATATGTTTTTACCAGGCTGAGAGGTCAAGGGCGGTTGAGTCTTCACGTCGGCATCTGCAGGCGTCAGTTGACCGACAGCGGCCGCGGCTGCTGCTACAGCCACCGTCTGCTGCTGCTTCAGGTTAGTTACAAACTCCTCGTGCTGCGTCTTCAGCACCTGGATCTGCTGCTGGAAGGCCATCTGGACGGGCTGCACCACCGGCGCGTACTCCGTGATGAGCGACGCCTAAACCAGACACAACAGAGACATGACGAGAAACTCATCCTCCATCTTTAACTGCAAAACAAACACTGAGAGCACGAGCTGTACCTGATACTGTCCCAGACCCAGAGCCGGACTCTGAAGCTGCTGAATGGTGACGTCGTCAAAGTAGCCGTTCTTCTCCCAGAGCAGCAGCAGCTGAAAACATGAAGAACAACCGCTCACTTTGACATAACATCTACCAAAAGTCAATCTAGAAGGGAAACGTGAAGAAATGGGGATGGATGATCTTACGCGGGTGATTTTCTGCTGCTTGTCTTCCTCTACAGCCAGGAAGCTGGTGCAGTAAATGGGAACCACGACTTTCTGTAGAGCCGCCAAAAGATCCCTCTGATTCTTCCTCTGACTGGGGAGAAAAATCAATAAAACGCCGTAAAATACACTTTGAGTTGCCAAGTACAACTAAAATGGGCCACTACTTTTACATGCTTTCCCAATGTGAAAAGTGAATATAATAACTATTTTCTGATAACCTTTTTTTCATTTGAAGCCTAAAATTCAAGTGAAAATGAATAAAAATTAAGTGAAATGTAATAAAAATTAGACATCAAATAATTTTTATTTAAATTACCCAACCAGTGTTGTTATTCTCATTAACTAAAACTTAAAAAAAAAAAAAAAAAAAAACATTTACATTAATTGAAATCAAATGATTCAAACTTATTGTATTTCAGTTAGTTTCGAAAAGCAACATTTTCAATTTTAATTTAGTTTAGGTTCTAAAATTGCTACAACTGAAACTGAAATGAGTAATAAAATTTTAAATAGACAAAAAGAATTTTTTTTTTTTAAAATGACAAAACACTAAACAAAAATTTAAATGAAAACAGGAAATACAAACATTTGAGAACTTTAAAATAAAGCATCACATTAAATAACATTATGCATAATTTGTGATTAAGTTCTTCATTTATATAATCAAAATGACCCCTGATTATTAACTAAAATTAAATATAAAAAACATTTGTTAATTGAAAATTTAAATAAATTAAAAATAATATTATAAAAAATGTAAATATTATAAAAAATATTTATAAAAATATTTCTAACATTACTATGAATAATACTCTAAAGTTATGTAATATAAAAATATTTTTAAATATTTACATATAAAAAAAGGAATTAAAATTATAAAGAAAATGGAAACAAATATAAAAACTAATTCAAAATATTATTTAATGCGATGATACTATAATAGTATATTAATGATAAAGCAGAACAGCTGACTTGAATATTCAAATTCATTATAAAGTGCCAGAACACAGTTCAGATGAAAGCTCTGCGTCTCACCAGTGATGCAGCACGTCGTTGGTCAGATAGATGAGATGCAGGCGGAGCTCGAAATGCGCCTCGTCCGCGGTGATGCGGTTTCTGAGATGCGACGTCATCAGCTCGCAGTGCGGCGGGGTCTTAGCGTTACTGAACATCCAGTTCTTTCCAGCCTGAGAGAGAACGAAAAATAAGCACAAAGTGACTAATCTGAGACACATCTGGTGAGCGAGGCAGATTTCCGGCTCGTACCGATATGGCGTCTTTGGTGCAGGTGTCTATGATGGGCTGGAGCAGGTTGTCGAACTCGTTCATGTCCAGCTGCGTCTCCACCAGCAGTTTCTGCGTCTGCTGCTCCATCGCCAGAGAGATGGCGGCCGTCACTTGCTCCTGAAAGCCCAAAACACATTTATTTAACAGAATATATTACAGTTCAAAAGTCTGGGGACTGTAAAATTTTTATTTTTTTTTATCAATACTTTTATATATAAAGGATGCGTTAAAATGATCAAAAGTGATGTTACGAAAGATTTCTATTTCAAATAAATGCTCTTCTTTTGAACTTTCTATTCATCAAAGAATCCAGAAAAAAAAAATGCATCACAGTTTCCACAAAAATATTGGGCAGCGCAATTGTTTTCAACATTGATAATAATCAGAAACGTTTCTTGAGCAGCAAAATAGCATATTAGAATGATTTCTGGAGGATCATGTGACACTGAAGACTGGAGTAATGATGCTGAATATTCAGCTTTGTTCACAGAAATCAATTACATTTTAAACTAGATGTGCAAAGTTTGTAAACAAACTTTAATGTTGGTTTGACAAAGCCTTGTTTGAAGGTTTGAAATAACTTTGAAAAGCTTGAAGTTTGAAGATTTTACTTGAAGTCAACAAAATGTTATGTTGTAGCACATTGCTAAAAGGTTTAAACATGTTGCTAGCACGATTTAACACATTACAAGCAAGTTGCTAACAGGATTAATCATATAGTACACATGATTTAATACATTAGTTGCATGTTTTAACACGTTGCTAGCATGTTTTAACATGTTAACATGATTTAACAGGTTAGCAACATGCTAATCCATGCTAGCAACATGCTAATCCATGCTAGCAACAAGTTAACACATTGCTAGCCAGTTTTAACATGTTAACATGATTTAACAGGTTAGCAACATGCTAATCCATGCTAGCAACAAGTTAACACATTGCTAGCCAGTTTTAACATGTAGCTTGCATGATATAACACATTACTACCAAGTTGCTAACAGGATTAATCATATAGCATACATAATTTAATACATTAATAGAATGTTTTAACACATTGCTAGCATGTTTTAACATGTTAACATGATTTAACAGGTTAGCAACATGCTAATTCATGCTGGCAACATGTTTTAACACATTGCTAGCATGATTTAACACATTGTTAGAATGTTTCAGCATGTTAACATGATTTAACATGTTAGCAACATGCTAATTCATGCTAGCGACACGTGTTAACACATTGCTAGCCTGTTTTAACGTGTTACGAACATGATTAGCACATTGCTAGCATGGATTAACATGTTGTCCTAGAATAGTCGTTCAGCTTTGCTAGTGACAGACAGCTTAAATACTGTATGTTATTGTGCAAAAGTTTTCACCCCCTCAATGAAAGTCTATGGGACTTTTCGTTGTTTTGATTGTCCATTTAATGAAAACCATAAGTCCGATCAGTTAGAAAAGATACAGCAACCCGAGTCAGACCAGTCTGAAGGTCTGATCCGAGTTTGGTGGTTGTAGCCTGAAAACTGTAGGAGGAGATACCGACTAAATTTAGCCTCACAAGAAGGATTAATCACAATATTACTGTTTCTACTGTATTTTTTTGATCAAATAAATGCAACCCTGGTGTGCAGAAGAGCTTGATGTACCTGTCTGAGGCTGAGCAGGTGTTGCTCCTGCTGCTGGAGGTTCCACTGGCTCTGCTGGATGAGCTCCTCCACAGACGGCGTGGTCGGCGGGATCGGCGGCGGCGGGAGCATCGTCATCGTCGCGGAAACATCGGCGACCTCATTACCTGGAGGTTTACAGAGCTCTGCGAATCACAAGAACACGCAGATGCAAAAAACATCACGCCTACTGTACGCTGAGGCAAACATCTGCCTGCCGGTGCGTCCAGATCTGACGGATGTGTGTGAACGGTCACACTGGGAAGTGCTACGAAAAGCAACAAGTTAACACATTGCTAGCCAGTTTTAACATGTAGCTTGCATGATATAACACATTACTACCAAGTTGCTAACAGGATTAATCATATAGCATACATAATTTAATACATTAATAGAATGTTTTAACACATTGCTAGCATGTTTTAACATGTTAACATGATTTAACAGGTTAGCAACATGCTAATTCATGCTGGCAACATGTTTTAACACATTGCTAGCATGATTTAACACATTGTTAGAATGTTTCAGCATGTTAACATGATTTAACATGTTAGCAACATGCTAATTCATGCTAGCGACACGTGTTAACACATTGCTAGCCTGTTTTAACGTGTTACGAACATGATTAGCACATTGCTAGCATGGATTAACATGTTGTCCTAGAATAGTCGTTCAGCTTTGCTAGTGACAGACAGCTTAAATACTGTATGTTATTGTGCAAAAGTTTTCACCCCCTCAATGAAAGTCTATGGGACTTTTCGTTGTTTTGATTGTCCATTTAATGAAAACCATAAGTCCGATCAGTTAGAAAAGATACAGCAACCCGAGTCAGACCAGTCTGAAGGTCTGATCCGAGTTTGGTGGTTGTAGCCTGAAAACTGTAGGAGGAGATACCGACTAAATTTAGCCTCACAAGAAGGATTAATCACAATATTACTGTTTCTACTGTATTTTTTTGATCAAATAAATGCAACCCTGGTGTGCAGAAGAGCTTGATGTACCTGTCTGAGGCTGAGCAGGTGTTGCTCCTGCTGCTGGAGGTTCCACTGGCTCTGCTGGATGAGCTCCTCCACAGACGGCGTGGTCGGCGGGATCGGCGGCGGCGGGAGCATCGTCATCGTCGCGGAAACATCGGCGACCTCATTACCTGGAGGTTTACAGAGCTCTGCGAATCACAAGAACACGCAGATGCAAAAAACATCACGCCTACTGTACGCTGAGGCAAACATCTGCCTGCCGGTGCGTCCAGATCTGACGGATGTGTGTGAACGGTCACACTGGGAAGTGCTACGAAAGGAAGCGTGACTCTCTTTGGAATGGACGTTCCCAGAGCAAAGCCATTCAGATCAGTGAAACATGCAGGAAATCACTCATGCTGGTTTGTTCCCCTCTGATTTTCCATGTCTTGCGATAGTCGCATGAAAAACTTGTGAATACGAAAACATTAAGCCGAGGAAAGCATGGGGATATGACATAGTAAACTGACTGCAAATAACTGAGGGGAAAAGAAATCAAGTAAAGAACCCACAAAGAAAAACGACTTGCTTGCGGCGGCTTTGAAAATAAAACTGAAAATCTGAATCAAGATTTATATAGAATGCTTTCATTTGCAAACAAAAGTAAAACTAAAATCACGCTGCACAAGTTCAGATGTCATGTATGCAGCAAAAAACACTGCAAGGAAGTAACATTCTTTGCTTTTAAGGAATAGTTCAACCAAAAATTTAAATTTGCTAACAATTTACTCACCTTCAGGCCATGTAGATGAGTTTGTTTCTTCATCAGATTTGGAGAAATGTAGCATTGCATCAGTGTCTCAGCAGTGGATGCTCTGCAGTGAATGGGTGCCGTCAGAATTCTCGTAAATTAAAACTTTAAAACTATTTTGTTTATTTTAAATAAAAAAAATTAAATGTATTAATATATTTAAACTTATTTTATTTCAGTTAGTTTTTCAGGTGACATTTTACATTTTTAATTTAGTTCAAGTATTACAATTACTACAACTAAAATTGAAATGAATAATTAATTTAATTAATTAAAAACAGCATAACACAACAGCATTACACTAAAATTAAAATGAATGTGATGTCATTATTTAAATATATTATTTAGTTGTTCTTGAGCTATGCAATTAAAATAACCCTGATCAATAACTCAAATTAAAACATTTCTAACTTTGATTTACTTTAAATTGAAGACTTAAATTACTATAAAATTTCTAAAACTAAAACAAATTTAAAAACATAATAAATATTTATTATTATAAAATTGTATTATAACATTAAACATATTGTATAAACTATAAAAAATATAACATTAAAAGTATATATTATAAATAATTGTTAAAAATAATTCAATATATAGCTAGAAAAATTACATATAATTTAATATTTATATACATTTACACTAAGAAAAATGCTAAAAACAACAAAATAATAAATAATAAATTTGAAAAATAAACTATAATTCAAACATAATTCAAAATATTAATGAATTCTATATTAGTATATTTATAAGACTAAAATAACAGTCTACCTTTTTAGCTAATTTAAGTATTCAAATATATTGTAACAGTTCAGATGAAATCTCTGCATCTCACCAGTGATGCAGGACGTCATTGGTCAGATAGATGAGATGCAGGCGGAGCTCAAAATGTGCCTCGTCCGCAGTGATGCGGTTTCTGAGATGCGACGCCATCAGCTCGCAGTGCGGCGGGGTCTTAGCGTTACTGAACATCCAGTTCTTTCCAGCCTGAGAGAGAACGAAAAATAAGCACAAAGTGACTAATCTGAGACACATCTGGTGAGCGAGGCAGATTTCCGGCTCGTACCGATATGGCGTCTTTGGTGCAGGTGTCTATGATGGGCTGGAGCAGGTTGTCGAACTCGTTCATGTCCAGCTGCGTCTCCACCAGCAGTTTCTGCGTCTGCTGCTCCATCGCCAGAGAGATGGCGGCCGTCACTTGCTCCTGAAAGCCCAAAACACATTTATTTAACAGAATATATTACAGTTCAAAAGTCTGGGGACTGTAAAATTATTTATTTTTTTTATCAATACTTTTATATATAAAGGATGCGTTAAAATGATCAAAAGTGATGTTACGAAAGATTTCTATTTCAAATAAATGCTCTTCTTTTGAACTTTCTATTCATCAAAGAATCCAGAAAAAAAAAATGCATCACAGTTTCCACAAAAATATTGGGCAGCGCAATTGTTTTCAACATTGATAATAATCAGAAACGTTTCTTGAGCAGCAAAATAGCATATTAGAATGATTTCTGGAGGATCATGTGACACTGAAGACTGGAGTAATGATGCTGAATATTCAGCTTTGTTCACAGAAATCAATTACATTTTAAACTAGATGTGCAAAGTTTGTAAACAAACTTTAATGTTGGTTTGACAAAGCCTTGTTTGAAGGTTTGAAATAACTTTGAAAAGCTTGAAGTTTGAAGATTTTACTTGAAGTCAACAAAATGTTATGTTGTAGCACATTGCTAAAAGGTTTAAACATGTTGCTAGCACGATTTAACACATTACAAGCAAGTTGCTAACAGGATTAATCATATAGTACACATGATTTAATACATTAGTTGCATGTTTTAACACGTTGCTAGCATGTTTTAACATGTTAACATGATTTAACAGGTTAGCAACATGCTAATCCATGCTAGCAACAAGTTAACACATTGCTAGCCAGTTTTAACATGTAGCTTGCATGATATAACACATTACTACCAAGTTGCTAACAGGATTAATCATATAGCATACATAATTTAATACATTAATAGAATGTTTTAACACATTGCTAGCATGTTTTAACATGTTAACATGATTTAACAGGTTAGCAACATGCTAATTCATGCTGGCAACATGTTTTAACACATTGCTAGCATGATTTAACACATTGTTAGAATGTTTCAGCATGTTAACATGATTTAACATGTTAGCAACATGCTAATTCATGCTAGCGACATGTGTTAACACATTGCTAGCCTGTTTTAACGTGTTACGAACATGATTAGCACATTGCTAGCATGGATTAACATGTTGTCCTAGAATAGTCGTTCAGCTTTGCTAGTGACAGACAGCTTAAATACTGTATGTTATTGTGCAAAAGTTTTCACCCCCTCAATGAAAGTCTATGGGACTTTTCGTTGTTTTGATTGTCCATTTAATGAAAACCATAAGTCCGATCAGTTAGAAAAGATACAGCAACCCGAGTCAGACCAGTCTGAAGGTCTGATCCGAGTTTGGTGGTTGTAGCCTGAAAACTGTAGGAGGAGATACCGACTAAATTTAGCCTCACAAGAAGGATTAATCACAATATTACTGTTTCTACTGTATTTTTTTGATCAAATAAATGCAACCCTGGTGTGCAGAAGAGCTTGATGTACCTGTCTGAGGCTGAGCAGGTGTTGCTCCTGCTGCTGGAGGTTCCACTGGCTCTGCTGGATGAGCTCCTCCACAGACGGCGTGGTCGGCGGGATCGGCGGCGGCGGGAGCATCGTCATCGTCGCGGAAACATCGGCGACCTCATTACCTGGAGGTTTACAGAGCTCTGCGAATCACAAGAACACGCAGATGCAAAAAACATCACGCCTACTGTACGCTGAGGCAAACATCTGCCTGCCGGTGCGTCCAGATCTGACGGATGTGTGTGAACGGTCACACTGGGAAGTGCTACGAAAGGAAGCGTGACTCTCTTTGGAATGGACGTTCCCAGAGCAAAGCCATTCAGATCAGAGAAACATGCAGGAAATCACTCATGCTGGTTTGTTCCCCTCTGATTTTCCATGTCTTGCGATAGTCGCATGAAAAACTCGTGAATACGAAAACATTAAGCCGAGGAAAGCATGGGGATATGACATAGTAAACTGACTGCAAATAACTGAGGGGAAAAGAAATCAAGTAAAGAACCCACAAAGAAAAACGACTTGCTTGCGGCGGCTTTGAAAATAAAACTGAAAATCTGAATCAAGATTTATATAGAATGCTTTCATTTGCAAACAAAAGTAAAACTAAAATCACGCTGCACAAGTTCAGATGTCATGTATGCAGCAAAAAACACTGCAAGGAAGTAACATTCTTTGCTTTTAAGGAATAGTTCAACCAAAAATTTAAATTTGCTAACAATTTACTCACCTTCAGGCCATGTAGATGAGTTTGTTTCTTCATCAGATTTGGAGAAATGTAGCATTGCATCAGTGTCTCAGCAGTGGATGCTCTGCAGTGAATGGGTGCCGTCAGAACGAGAGTCCAAACAGCTGATAAAAACATCACAATAATCCACAGCACTCCAGTCCATCAGTTAATGCCAAAAGCTGAAACAAATCCATCATTAAGGTGTTTTTAACTTGGATAGAGATTCTTCTATCCATAATGTTAGTCTGAATCAGGAGAGAAATATGCAGAAATATGAGCCCATAATCCATAATAATGCTTCCTTCAGTGAAAAAGTTCATCCCCTGTTGACTCTCACATCAAAATACAGCCACATATTTGTGTACAACTGTTTTGGCTTGTGAACTGTGCTTGATCTGTGCAGATTTCTCTCCTGATTCAGCCAAGAAGACTTTTTCACTGGAGAAAACAACATTATGGATTGAAGACTCTCTATCGAAGTTGAAAACACCTTAATGATGGATTTGTTTCTTACAAACACGCAGCTTTTGGCTTCTCAAGACATTAACTGATGGACTGGAGTGCTGTGGATTATTGTGATGTTTTTATCAGCTGTTTGGACTCTCATTCTGACGGCACCCATTCACTGCAGAGCATCCATTGCTGAGCAAGTGATGTAATGCTACATTTCTCCAAATCTGATGAAGAAACAAACTCATCTACATCTTAAATGGCCTGAAGGTGAGTATTTTTTCAGCAAATTATCATTTTTGGATGAACTATTACTTTAATATTTGGTTCAAATCCCTAAGAAATAGTAACAGCAACTGAGAAAATGTAAACTATAACAAAATCTGACAAATAAAATATAAACAAAAAAAATTAAAGCATTGATGCAGAACAACTCCATGAATACCAGGGAAAATGAAACATTTCTGATCATCGGTCTAATAAATACCTTCCATTTTATATTCATCATCATGAGTGGCAGAATCTATAAAGGAGAGAAGCACACCTTAAAGATGAATAAATACACACACACAATACAAAACAAGCAAATCTAGCTGTTTCCATCACACATTATCGTGAACTAGAACTATTAAAAACATTTTTGGTAATAAACAATGAAGCTGAAATAAAAATAAATAAATAATAATAATAAAACAATTTAGATAAAATAAGTATACGTTTAAAAAATAAGTTTAAGCTGAAGCACCAAGATTACAAAAAATAAATAAAATAAATAAAAACTAAAACTGAAATAAATCTAAAACGGATATAAAAATATATTAAACCTAAAAAAATATTATTTTAAAGCATAAAAAATTAATAAAAAGACCATAAAAAATTAAACAAAAATGAAAAAATAAAAATATAAAAGCTAAATAAAAAGATTAATAAAAACTATAAGAGTATATAAATATTACTAATATAACACTGGTTAGCAGAAATAAATGCGACTGATGCTCTCCAGTGGTTTATTCACGTACGCTGCTGCTGTTCGATGGCCAGCTTGTATTTGTAGTAGCCGAAATATTCTCCTCCGAACAGAAACGAGAACTTGGGGTTCTCCTTCTGCTTCTCCATGGTCATCTTCTCAAACTCGGGTCCATTTCGGGCGACAAACTGGGCCAGTTTGTCAATGACATTACGCAGCTCTTGATCTGATGGGGAAAATATAGTATATTTTTTTAAATGTAACATATAGTATTATTTGTAAAGAATATAACTAGCCTTATAATTTTAATATATTTTACATTTTTTTAAGTATTACTAAATATTTGCGGTCTTTTTCAAAGTGTAAGAGCTTTAAGACATTTCCTTTCATATTTTTTTTGTGATGACAGTAACACCAGCTGTCCACAGTGTAATAAATATAATATTTGTACTAGTATGTCTGTCACCATTGACATTACTGTAAACGCTTTATATAAAGTCAGTGAATACACCTGCAATCGATTTAGCTATTTCACTTGCCATCCTACCCACACTAGACAGTCAACACAAACTAAAGAGCACTTAAATGCTGATTTGATGCGTTAATTGCGTGTTTATTAGTGTAAATAATGTCAGTTCACACGCGTTCGCGCTGATCACTCAGTTACCTTCTGGCGGTGTGGCAATATCCATTTTTCTCAGGATTACACGCTAGTGTTGGACCAGGAATTCATTTATGACACATGACGCTGAAGTGTGGAACAAAATAAATCGCTTTTAAACTGCTGCGACTATTATATTAGCATAGGTTTGTTGTGTTTCAGTTCAAGACGAAACGACGGGAAACCGAATCCTGACGACTTCCTCTGACGAGTGAGACGCGTGCGCGCTGTGGAGACGCTCAGAAGGTCCGTGACGTCACAGCGTCGCCTGCCGTTCGGAGGCCGTAATTTACGGACACGCGCACGCAGCAGATGACTTTCAGGAAAATCTTAAAGGGGTCCTATTATGCTTTTTCACTGTTTTAATTTTAGTCCGTGTGTAGTGTGTATGTTTGGGCATAAAAAAGATCTAGAAAGTTACAAATCTCAAAGTCCACTCCAAAGGGAGATATTTCGTTTTTTAAAAATCTCTTTCACGAACTACAACGAACGGCTCGTTTGGACTACAGCGTTTGTTTTCCGGGCTTTGTGATGTCACAAAGCGGCTCATTGGAATATCATTACAAAGAATTCCCGCCTACAGAAATTCGAATGGTTGGGGGGGGGGGGGGGGCGCGGGTGTGGTTAGAACGCTTGGTTGAGTGAGTGCATCAGACGAGACGAAATCGAGCCGTTTGTGCCAGGCTGGGGAGAAAGGTATTTTAATAATGTAAATTATGTGAAAATTAATGCGTTTTTCGAACCACCAAGCATGAGAGCATGTTCTAGTACACCCCCAAAACAAAATCAAGACTTTGTAAAAGAGCATAATAGGACCCCTTTAACCAAGGAAAATCGTGTTCTTCATAAGGAATTGGTGAAGTGGGAGCAGGATTATCCTTCGCTTTTATTTCAGATTCCGTGGTCAGATATGAATAAATATGTAATTCCTAATAAAGTCAAATAAATGTACTTTAAAGTAATACATAGATATTATCCATGTAATGATTTTATTAGTAGGCTAGGCTAAGTTTAAAGAACCGTTCTCGCCCTTATGCTGTTTTTGCAAAGAGGAGTTTTTCAGTTGTAATTACCAAACTATTTTGGTCCCAAGTTTCTTTGTTTCTTTTTGAAATGTTTTACAAGTCTGTCACTATAACTGATATAATGGTCTTGTTTATGGATTGTAATACTGGTCTATTAGAAAAGGACAATATAATTAAAATTCTTGTTTTATTTGGGAAATATCACATACACAAAGCAAAATGTATGTTAACTGTACCAAATGGTAGACTATTTTCCATTGATTTAAAGATTTTTTTATGATTCTCTAACTTCAGTACAGAACAATCGTAAAGCTGTTAAGACATCTCAACTACTGAAGAGGATACTTGATGTATTAGATATATAGTTGAGCTTTGATGGAAAATGTGGAAATTTTGGTGTACTGTTTTATAGACTCATGTATTTTGTACGACTTGTATTCCCCTATTGTTATTTCAAATAATAATAATAATAATAAAAAAAATAAAAAACCGCTGCAGATGATGCCTTATTCTGGCTTTGTAAGTAATTTTATCATAAGTTATGTTTCGTCCTATAATGCAAATGACCTAAATTCTTAAAGGGGTGGTTCAGTGGTTTTTTTCTAGGCTTGATTGTGTTCATGGGGTGCAGTCTAACATGTGTTAATGCTTAAAAAAATGCATAATTTTCACATAATTTACCTTTATTCCACACCGCTCTGTCCCTTCTCTGAGAAACGGGCTGATCTTTTCTTTCTTTTATGAAGCCCCTCCCTCAGAAATAGGTGATGGGCTCTGATTGGTTAGCTAGCCCAGTGTGTTGTGATTGGCTAAACCACGTCTAGTGCGTGTTTTAGCCAATAAACGTCCCGCCCCTCACCTCAGCGGCATGTGCTCCGGTTGTAAACAGCGGCGTTGTTAATATTGCTTATCAGTTTGAGCCCGATTGAGACACAGAGGATATTATTGAAGGTGCTTTAGAACACTGATTTTGAAACTTGTGAATCCATTAGAATCTTTAGAAGACAGAATCATGATTCATATATTAATATATTTTTACGTGCACCTCTAGTTTTCTCTTCCTCTTCTCTAAAGCAGTGCAGCATGGACTCGCCCCTTTTGCTGCCTCTTCCCGGGGGCGGGGTTTATCAGGGTTTGTGATGTCATGAACCCGGGAAGTAACTCGTTGTAGTCCCTACCAGCCGTTTTTGTAGGCATTAAACTGCCAGAATTTTAAAAGACAATATCTCTGTTTGCATTGCATTTGCAACTTTCAGCTTCATAACTTTGCAGATATTGTTTATGCTCAAACAGCAACATTACACACTAACGTTAAAAATGTGAAATCACAATCAACCACCCCTTTAAGCTAAATGTGTATACATACTTTAACAGAAACTGCAGATGGCTCTACAAAATTAGGTCAGTCTATCAGCGCACTGGACACACTGAAAAACTCTTCACTTTTGGAATGATTTCACATGTAATCTTGTTATATATGAATACGGCATATATTCTGCTTTTAGCAGCGGGTGTTTCCAGTAGTATCTGGAGCCTTTCTCTCATGCAGATTACATCTGTAACTAGATTACAGGCACACTGGTGCTGATTGATTCACCCAGATGTGTTTGTGTGAGTAATAGAGAGACCGGTCACCCTTTTTACACCAATATTTGTAAAAAAAGGGTTATATAGTGGGGCATGTTGTCGCACAGTATGGGAAATATAAAATATCATCTACAAAAAGCCACTTTTCACAACACATCTGTTTTTGAATTATGAATGAATTATGGATGATTTAATGGCAAAATTTAAGGAGTAAAACAAACATAATTGATGAATCCGCAAAATAGAGAGGCATAAAATTTTGCCCAATAGAAATGATAAAAATTGTACCGTGTGCTTGTACTAGCAATTAATTAAAAACAAAATAATTTGTGCAGTTTATAAATTAAAATGTATAAATTATATTACCTACACATAGCATATAATGTGACAACTTGCACCAACATGACATTTCCAAATTAATCCTTTCTTTGTAGTTCAAAGTTCTTATAAAAAAAGTGCAAAGTAGAATTTCTGATTATAAATCATAGAAGCTACACAATAAAAAGTTCCATAGCTATTATATAACTTATTTAAAAATACCTTTAAAGTCATTCTAGAGCACAGAAGAAGTGCCCTAACTGAAGAATCACCCATATATGTTAAAATGTCTCTAAATGTTTAATTTCCAACTGTCCTACTAATCATCAGCACTCCACATGTTTACAAAGGATGACAAAAAACCCTTTTCACTTCCACTGATGAGAAGAATACTGGCGCCAGGCCTCAAATCCAGCCCATCACCTCCCACCCATTCTCCATGACCTCTAATTATGTCATGCGAAAAGAGCCGTGTCCCATTGAAAACCTCGCTTAATCAAACCCAATTAATTCCGCTCGCTTCCCGTATTATCCCCTTCGAGGAACGCGTCATCCCCATCAGCCTGTTAACTTCAGCCTGCGCCGTGTCGAGGGAGCAAAATAATAGATTATGCAATTAATGTAGTCGTTAGAGACTTAATTGTTCTTAATGAATACAGTAACTCTGTGGGGGTGTCCTGTGATTCAGAGCGTCCTCGATCACCACACGATCACTCAGCAAAATATCCTGTTTTACGTTGTGTTTTCATGTTATAGCTCACAGGGATCACAAATAATTATCACCACATTTGTCATTGCTGATATTAGATGATATTATGACCATTTTACATCTAGTTCATCAAACTGAAGTCATGAAAGCACGTCCAGGCCAAATTTCACCACAAAATTAAACTGAAATCCAATAGAATACAAATGGGATTCACATTATATCAAATTACTGTATACAGTAATTATACAATATTTTTATTAGTATTTAAACATTACCTTAAGTTAAAGACAGCACAATAAATACATCCCTAATACATAAATACAATAATATATTAGTATTATATGAATTATATAACATTGTATAATTTTAATATTAATAGTTAATGATATATCACTGGGTTTTTTTCCACATTACAGTAATGAGACATATTTTGGCATTATGATAAAAATAATATTTAATAATTAAATATTTAATATTTAATTGGTGTAACAAACAGTCTCAATTTTCTTAACGCAAGTATTCTACAGTACTTTTAAGCTCTACTTTAGAAAAAGATGCTGTCCAATATTAATACCCAGTACCAATACTCTGACCGTTATATTCTACATCTATAATCACAGTGTGTATATATTCATGTTTTAATGTCCATATTCGTATTCATTCTGATTCATTCCTATAGTAGATTACATGGTAAACATTATATGCATCAGTACGGTGACTTTGAAAATGAGAAGCGCAGAGGAAATCATCTTAGTAGCTGAGGTCACGGATTAACCCTTGGTTTATGTATCTTGATGTGTGACTAAAGGAATTTGTGGAATATTTTTTCCAGTCAGTTCATGATGAGACATTTTTAGCAGATGATCTTGAGAAAAACTTTATGCCTTCATACAATTTTGAAAGTTTCAGTCCTGGATGACATGTTGCCTGGAGAGTTTTAAGCTTTACTTTAAAGGTGACATATTATGCCCCTTTTTACAATATGTAATATAAGTCTCTGGTGTCCCCAGAATGTGTCTGTGATGTTTCAGCAAAACACAACAGTGTTATTAAAGCATCTAACCTACAAAAAAAAGAAAAACCTGTGAACCGAACGTGAGATTATAAAATGGACCTCAAACACAACAGACTGACCCACATTCAAAGCATGAGAGTGGAAAAACAGCATATTTCCCTCAGCCTGGCGAACAAAGCTTTTCGCAGTGGTTGAACTGCTGCTTTCCCATGATTCCTTTGTGCCAGTCCAGCTGAACGCATGCCTACCTACAACCCAGCCGCCCGTCTGCCAAGATGTGCAGCGGTCAGTGGCTGTTCGATCTCGGCCTGGCCACTAATCCTCACACTGAACTCATCCTGGCCTGCGGGAAAAAGCTCTAATTGGGGGATTTTCTCCATCATTAACCTTGATGAGCAGCCTTCCCACCCTCCGTTCCCATCCGCGCAATCGCTAATACTTCCTACCTTGATCACTGCAAAGTTCAGCCACAGTACTAATATGTTTTTCTATGTATAGCGTTTACAACAGCAAAACAGATGGTAAGGACTGTATATTCCCACAATTCCAATGTCTAATTCAACCTGTTTTCACTAAAAACTGATTTTAACATTAGCATTACTACACAAGTGTTCAGAATGATCGTGTGGTTATAGGGTTAATTAGTTTTAGCACATTACTATGTGGTTCCTAGGACATTGCTGTGTGGTAGCAGAAAGTTTATGTAGCATGTTGCTACAATATGTGATTTTAGTTTGTTATTGGTGGTTGCCAAGGTGTTGCTATGCAGCTAAAGTGTTCATTATGGTTTTTAGCATGTTGCTATGCGGTTGCTAGGTTGTTCTAAGTTTTAACACATGATTCTTACGATGTGGCTATGGGTTATCGTAGAGCTTTTGTAGTATGTTGCTGCAATATGTGATTTTTATGTTGTTCATGTGGTTGGCAAGGTGTTGCTATGCAGTAGTTAAAGTGTTCAATATGGTTTTAGCATGTTGCTATGCTGTTGCCAGGGTGTTCTAAGTTAGTTTTGCACATTTCTACATTGTTCTTGGGACATTTCAATGTGATAGCAGAGTGTTTTTTTTTTGTTTGTTTTTAGAACTACAGTATGTGGTTCTAGGTCGTTCTTGATGGTTCTTAAGGTGTTGATATGACAGTTGGGGAAAGTTACTTTTAAAAGTAATGCATTACAATATTGCATTATTCCATAAATATGTGACTAATTGCGTTACTTAGTTACTTTTTATGGAAAGTAACGCATTACGTTACTTGTGTGTTACTTTTTGTCATCTGGGTTGGGCTTGCTTATTTTATAAGTTATATTTTTAGATACTATAAAGGCCCTTTCACACCAAAAGTGAAATTAATAAGACTCAGGTTAAAGGAAGTGCCTCTATCTCTGCACCTCACTCCCGATTTCTCTCAACATAGGGTCAGGAGAGGTGTCTGTGAATAAATGGGAATATGAAGTAACTTGCGTTACTTATTTGAAAAAGTAACTCAGATTTTTTTTGTGTGTGTACATTTAAAAGTAATGCAATACTTTACTAGTAACTTGAAAAAAAGTAATCTGATTACATAACTCATGTTACTTGTAATGCGTTACCCCCAACGCTGGTTGCTATGGATTAGAAAATGTGTTTGGAGTGATTTATATCAAGTTGCTATGCGGTTGCTATGGTGTGGTGGGTGGTTGCTTACTATCTTCCCCTTGGCTTCTGACCCTCCTTAAAGTCTATGGAATTTTTGTCTGTTTATTTCTCCCTCTAAATTTACATGAAAGTATAAATGTAAAATCCGGTCCGCAAGTCCACACCTTCTGCACTTTGGTAATCATCATATGAAACAGTACAACACGAAAGAACCCACGTTCACACCCCTTTGCTCTTTTCCCAGCACATGTTTTTTTGGGGCCCCAGATGGCCCCCGTAGTGTCCCATCTGTCTGAGAGCATTGCTCACACATCATGAATACAGCCGAGCACCAGGCACTCTGAACATGTGCCTGAACAGCAGCGTCAGGAGGCAATTAGAGAACAGTGGACCCTGGGGCCAATGCCCCCTCCCGGGCCAGGCTGATTGACTGGAACCTTATCTTCCTAACAGGCTGGCTCGGCGCCATGGGTCAAAAGAAACAGAGACAGGAGGGGGTTATGAAATAGACAGTATTTCCTATAGTTCAACCAGAGACATAGACTTCCAAACAATCTTCCCAGGAATGGATGAGTCAACGGAAAATCTCTGAGAAACTAGATTTGTTTATTCTTAAGAATGTTTGTGGACATTCATTTCTCTGCTTGATTCAAAGGTAATCGTGAAAACGTCTAGGACACATTACAAACATGAGAACCACATTTGTATTTTTGGACAAAAAACATCATACGCACATACACTCATTTTAATTACTCATGATTGTCATATTGCTGTCTAACATTGGCTTTGCAATTATTCAAACTGTGCAAGTCATCTAAACATAGATTCAGATTGTAAACTAACATTTGGCCCAAAGAGCCTCATAATAGAACTGTGGGAAGCAACATTAAACAAAAAACAACTGGCTTATACAGTGTAATCAACTGTATGTGTTCATAACATCTACAAATTCTTCATCCTTGACATCCTATACAGCTAATCTTAAAACATTATTAGTAAGCATAGTTCGTTCAAATGAATAATTCAATCAACCTGAAAGTTTAATACCTTTCCTGACAGGAATCAATATCTAGCTGTCCAGAACGTTATTAGTCAAACACAACTACACATGATTTATTGCTACAAAAACTCTGGCAACACGAACTGAGTGAGTTTCCTTTCGAAAGTAAGCAGCGAATCCCACTTGCGTGTTTGTGGGACATGACATTGGTCCTTTGAAGCCAGGTCTGTTTTGATGGTTAATTATTCTCGGAGTCATCATAAAATGAGACTTAAAGCACAATGATGGTGTTTTATCTAAAAAAAAACTTCTGATTTTGATTGGTGTCTTAAAGTGACAGTCTCTGACAGTCTTTCCCTCTAAAGAAGCTGAAACAAAAAGATCAGACTTTGATCAACTGGCCCAAACAAAGGGGGAGTCATGAAGGGGTGATGGCATAGTTTCCCCTTCTGCACGTACAGGAGATGGGTCTGCCAATAAGCATTTGCCTCTAATGAACACTGAGGCGTGCAAACTTTTCCCCCAAAACCAATCATTTCTGTCCCTTGTCCTTGCCTTTGTGATCAAAAAGAGGGGTTTTGATAAAATCAGCTGCCTGTGTAAGAGGTCTTTTCTAACCGCTGATCATATTTATCTTTTGTTTCAACCCAAAACATCTGGACCAGGAGGAAGTGTAAATTTGCAGACAGAGGTTATGTGATGCAAAACATGCCCTCATATTCACATTTCAGTAACTCTGGTTTTAGAAACCACTCCAAAACCAATTAAACCTATTAGGACAGTGAAAGACATAAAAAACATGCCAATGTGTGCATTACAAATACATATATGAAACAGATTTTTTTTTTCTTCAACAGTTGCTTGGAAGGTTTTTTTTTACATCCAGTTGCAAAAAAATTAATAAATGGCACACAACTCATTTAGCGCCTACATTTCGCTGGCCCAACTTTTTCTGACCTGGAGAATAAGATAACCATCCAATACAAGAAACATGGTTCTTGTGTAGCCTTCAGTACCAATTAGTAACCAAGAAAGCTAAAGAGAGATGTACCCTGTCTTAGCACATGGGTTGCCAGGTTTTGTCCATGGACTGGATGTGTTCCTTAGCTTTCATCCTCAGTGCGGAAATGCTTGAACTGCGCTGATCTACGTCCTCCAGAGGGTATTTGTCAGTGAAGGGAGGAGGGCATTGGTATGGAGGTGGCGCCATGGGCTGCATGCTTTGGGCCATGGGTTGGGGTGGGCTAAGGAAACCGTGATTGGCATAGCCCACTTGTAGTCCTTGTGTAGGACCCATGAACCCTGGGATGCTGTGCACTGGAGTGGCACTGCATAGAGGGGAGGGCAGCCAAGGGTCAAGGGGCAGCGAGTTGTTCATGGGGCCCATGGTGGGGTGCATTGGTGGGCGGTTGAAGGAGAGCATGGGGGAGTCATGGAGCTTCATAGTGCTGGCGTCTATTTTTTCCTGTCGCCTCCATTTGGCTCTGCGATTCTGGAACCAAACCTGGGCAAACACAGATACTTTAAATAATCAATCTGGTATGGCAATCCTAAGCCAGTAAGATGGTGTTTCACAAAAAGCATCTGTGCTATCAAACTACTTGTTTCCCAAACTTACTGGGAAACAACCAAAGTTGCGATTTAGGTCATGGATGATGTTTAGAAACCCTACTGAAAAGACCAGCTGAGATCAGCATGAATGCTGGTTAGTGCTGCTTGGTCTTTTCGATGAAGCTGCTTGAACAAGGTGGTCTTGCAGAATAAGTTGGGTCTTGTTTAAGGTGGTCAACTAATGTGGCCTTGCTGGTTAAGAAGTTTAAGCAAGCTGGTTTCAGCAATTGGTTGAGCAACCAGGTGAGGAGAAACCAGAACTCCAGCACAGTAGGAATCAGCATACCAGTTCCCGAAACACAACGTACACTGGAGAGTGGTTTTATCAACACGGTATGATCTCCTCTGAAACTGATACTTTTAATTTCACAAAGAGATTGAAACACACCTGCACTCGAACCTCAGGGAGGTTGACTTTCATGGCCAGCTCCTCTCGGCTGTAAACATCAGGGTAGTGGGACTTCTCGAAGGCTCGCTCAAGCTTGTGGAGCTGGTACGTAGTGAAGGTTGTGCGGTTGCGGCGGTGCTTTTTCTTGGGTTGCTCCCCATCGGCCAAGTCCGGAGACTTGCTGTCACTCTCAATGGACTTCCGCAGATCGCCCAACTCCCCGTCACACTTGTTGGAGAATATATCAGCATCTAAAGCCACAGGTGACATAACGTGACAAGTTATAAAGACATAACTTGAGAGTCCACATTAGACAGACTTTAACATGATGTTTCAACAGAATTGAGCTATGAACATACTGCAAAATTGCAATCCCACTGGAGCAACCTGGGGTTAAGAGTCATATTCAAGGAAACAAAGTTCTTTTGGAATTGAACAAGCAACCTTGCTTATTACCAGTCCTGAATCTTGACCACAAACACCACACAAGCATTTCACATTGAAGTAAAATTAAGTAGATGACTAATATGATCTACGGATGGTAAATACGGACTGCATGTAATTCATTATTGATATGGTATTTGTAAAACTGAGATTCTAATCCCATAATACTCCTGGACAAAATCTCTTGTAATAAACAGGCTTGGACTAGAGCAGTTTTATTGTCACTGATGGCAGGCATGGCTTTCACTGAGGGTTTCCCATCCCATAATCCAAGCAGAAACAGATGTAGCCTGTTAATTCCCCTGATGGTTTCCCCGTAGAGCAGGCCCTAATCTACCTAAGGGCTTCGTTTGATTCTACCTCATGTCCTCAACATAAGGTTATGTTTCTAGGAAAAGCTTTAGCTTGGTGAACTGGAGAGACCTACTGGCAGTTAACAAGCTAATTCAGTTAATTCCAGTAAAATACTGGTCATCAGGGCAAGTGGATTTGTGTACTGCACTCACAAGATGAGTTGACATACTCTTTAAGTTGGTGCTGTCCAATTGTAAACGAGCTCAGAACACATGCTGACTGAACAAGTGAACATTAACAATAGCTGCAATGTTATGTACATGCAAGCCAAATAGCTGATAACATTCAATTGGGGATAGTATCGTGAAGCCCAACAAGTAGAGCATGATGCAAAATCACAGGATGGAATCGGCAGACCATTTTTCACATTTTCAGTGCTGAAAATCTACAGAAATCAGCAAAAACTATTTAAAAATGTTAAATGTGTTACACATCGATAATAGCACTAGACTTTTATCTGTTAGCTTTTTTTAATTGGTAATAAAATGCTGCAGGTTCTACTAGTAACTGAAATGCTGCAGGTTCAATCCCAGATAAGATCAACCAATGAACTGGACTGTGAAGTGAACCCTTATCATTACTGTGTCCTTGAGGACACTTAACTGCATATTTAAGCTTCCTGGGGTGACTGTCCTTGCAATCAGCACATGGTAAGTTTGGGAGAAGTGTATGCTAATGAACATAGACTTTCTGACTGCCTGAATACACTTCTTCATAGTGGAAATAAAATGCATAATATCTCAATTTAGGTTTGTTAGAATAGCTAACACTTCTTAAAACACTGATTACAAGAAAACTAAGCAAGAAAACACCTCACTTTGGCGACATTAGAAGTAAAGGGTTTAATGATCAGGCAGGAACAAGCTTTCTGGGTTAGCGGAGCTAGCATCATTAACACGCAATAGACTGAACTCACACAATCAAGGGTCAATCCTGGTTCAAGGATCAGCATACCGCCTGTCAGATTCAAGACAGCCCAATAAAAACGCTCAGACTTGCTGGCAACTCGCGTCAAATGAGAACAAGCGATCTCAAAGGTTTAACCATTCAAAAGGATCTTGTCCCGTCTGACTCAAAATAACAGACAAGTCAACTCTGGGTCATGCGAGAGATTCTCTCGTCACAGGACTAAGAAGCATAATGGATTATAAGTCCAATGGAGAAGAAAAATGGTGCAGAATGGAAAAATGATTATGTCGGCATGCACAATCTTGTCGGTTGTGCAATCTTGTTTAAGATAGGAGCAGATTATGGGAATTCCACAAGGGGATGAGAACCAGGGATGAGCCCCATTGCCCAATTATTTTCAGGTTTGAAAGGACCTTGTAAAGACATGAAAATGTGATCGATTTTCAATTTAGCCTGGCATATCGCCACTGCCAAAAAACATCCCATAAAAACAAGACCTTTTTATAATTGCAAGAGTTTCTCCTAAAAAAACAAGAAGATTGAATGCTCGACAAATGGATGTCCCAATTCTTGTCAACCAAAGTCTGAGACGTCAACCATTTCTCAAGATTCTTCCAAGACCAAATTATCTGAGCTATAATCCTAATGCATGTTAAACAATCTTCTACATTTTCACTAAGGAATTTTAGGTGAAACATCTGAGGCAACGTTGAAGTCAACAGCACAATGAAAGAACAACTTCTTAGCAAAACAGTCCTCCTTTAGGAGTGTCCATCTTTCTACAATCCAAAGCGTTAATGGAAACTACGGATGGCATGTTAACAGAATGCATCTAGGTGCTGTTGGCTTTGTAAGTTACGTAAAAGAAGCGTCATACTTTTGTTTAGGTCTCTTAAGGTGACGCTTGATGCTAATGCCTTGGCAAGTTGCCACTGTCACCTTAAAATCAACAGGAAGGCTCAGCATAAGAACTTGGTTTGTGTCGGTCTCTGGGTTTTAGTAACAGTTTGTCTTAATGTACTAAATAGCCATCCTACGAAGCTATTTTGGGAGTAATTGCAAGAAACACTTGACATTTGACCCATGAAGAAACTCACCGTGAAATGCAGGTTGCTCCGAAGCATCCCTGAGGGGTGGCAGGTGCCCGTAGGGTTGTACCCGCTGGTCCTGCTTCCCTGGATCTCCAAGACTTTCCCCTCCAACTTTGTGTGCTACCACATTGCCTCCAGGGTTGAGCAAAGGATCCTGGTCCTTGTTGAAGCCCAGGATGACATCTATGCTGTGGACACGAGTGCCCACCGCCGCGCCCCCCGCTTTGACCATCTCGTGGAAGTTACTGAGCGAAAGACAGCTGTCATCCACCATGTTCATGGTGTCCAGTGACAAATGCATTCGAATGCTGGGATGGGGCCGTACAACTGATAAAACCACTTGATCTGATGGAATCCAAAACGGACTGGTTTTACCTGGTTGGAGTCATCAAAGAGAGACTAAAATCAACAAGTGCATTAAATAATGTATTAGAAGCCAAGTTCTTCACATTTCAGGTCAAATTCTTCATTAATGTTAGTTTATTAGTGTCATTACCATGAATATTTATAGTTAGAATAAATAAGCTATTCCCCCAGGTATTAATGGTTTGGTTAAGCAAGTTTAGATAAGCTCTTCTACTTCTATTTTTACAGATAATATAAAAATGTAAACATACATACATATATATATATATATATATATATATATCATCCCAATTAATATAAGTAATTAATAAACATCCAAGCATATAATGACACAATCTTTTTTTAATACAATAAATGTTTGACACATCAAAATACTCAGAAAAAAATTCAGATTGATTTCTTCATTAACATGAGTTTATTAGTGTCTTAATGAGGTCTCATTTGCATTCATATTTATAGTTTAATAGGCTAAGGAGGTTCAAATAAGCTCTATTACTTACACTTTCTTTTTTATCTACTTTTAAAGATAATGTAAAAAAAAAAAAAAACAGTTTAAAGGCAAATCTATGCATAATTAATAAATATCACAGCATATAACAACACACAATATAATGTCTGCATTCTCAGAAAACCAGATTATCTAGGCATATGACATATAGACATTTATATTAACATAACATTTATATCTATAATATATTGATAATCTGACAAATGTGAAATTAATACATACATAATTCAGATTTAAATAACATCTAACCCTCAAAACTTAGTTTATATAGAAATGTTTTTAAATTGTTATTATATAACCATCTTATTTATTAAATGTTTATATTTATTATATCTACATGTACATGTATATAATAGCATATAGAAATATTATAGCAATTATATACATTTTAACATGTAATATCATGTATATTATCAAAACCCAAGAATGACATATAATTGAAGTGTGCTTTGGAAGAAAGTTTCCCCAGCACAGAGTGACCGCAGCATGGGACGTACCTCTGACACGAGATGCTCCGTGCTCTTTCTGTCTCCAGTCTGACCCGCATCCACCTGTTTCTCCCTGCAGCGGGTCACATGCGGGTGATGAGCACGCCTCCGTCTGCTACTGTACGCCCCGACTGACCTCAACTGCTCTCACTTTAAACGTGAAAACATACACGAATGCACAGTTCTCTAGTGGATTCCGCTGGACAGAGAGCTGGTGTGTGTTTGTGTGTGTGTCTCTTCAGAAGGGAAATAATAGCAGAGGATTACAGGAGCTCATTAATTGGGACTCTTCCCCCTTAAGAATGATTGACAGACGGTTTCTGCTCAAGTAATTGCTCTAAATGGAGCTTGAATACACCCCACAGGAGGGGGGTGACACTAATGAAGCCGTTTCTCCTTCCTCTTAGAAAATTCAATTGTTTTAGCGACAAAAGGATGAACTGAAAGTTTTCACAAAGATCTTTCACCGGAAAGCTGTTACTGACATAAATACATAAAAATGTCTACAAAGAGAAAGTGTTTTGCCTTGCAAATGATAGAGCCATTACTAAATAAACAAATATTCAATCTTATATAAGAAAAATTAGTAAATAAATTATAAATATATTTTTGCAGATTTATCATACATTTTTCTTATATATAATATTACATAAAATTATATGTATTTTAAATATTTGTACTTTTTAATATGCTAAATAAATGTATAATGTGATCAAATATTAATACAATTTACAATGATTATAAATAGTAAAAAATATATTAAATTTATATATTTGCGTATATTGACAAGATGACGCGTAGAGCACATGTTGGCGTGAACTGCACGCTTCACTGATGGTATTACAGTAAATACTCAATACTATCACCTGTGGAATAATTAGCCAAGTAATTAAAGCAAACGACACGAGCGCAGACCCTTTTAACAACTCATTAAAGAGTTAACCCAGGCAAACTCATGAGTGATCGGTGCTTATTAAGAGATATGACCTCGGAACAAGATTAACTCGCTCATGTTCAAATGAATCCATGTAAACGATCTTACTGCTTCCATTAACACGACTGTAGTAAATTACAACAGAGAACCTCAACATTATATATATATATATATATATCATATATATTTGTGTGTCAAATACAGTACAGACTATAATTTCTATTAAACATACAATAGAAACATTGATTTGATTAAGCATCTCTGGCTTTTAGACATTTATTGTCTCTTCTTGGTATGTTGGGCTCAATCTTTGGTAGAAGTCTACATCTTTGATGGGCTAATCAGCGACACCTCCAATGAAGCTAAAGACACTGAAAATTTACTCTGACCTCAGTGAAGTCTTAAGATACTTTGAAGAAGCTCACCTAATGTATTTGTTTAGGGTCAGTGTTAGTGTACAGAAGTGAGATGAGATATAAAGAGTAAAGAGATGGTCTGAAATTTTGGTTAATGGACTGCATGAAAGTATGTCTTCCAAACAACCTCTCGGATCTCATTGAAATCTACAATACCTTGGATCAGCCAAACGTTACAGCCAGTGCAAGTGGCCAAAACCAGCCAACACGAAAGACCTCCAGGAAAGATTGACTTTAACCATATGTTTGCCATGTTGCCAGATAGATGTCTCTCATGAGCAAGAGTCAATCCTCAAAGGACAAGCTGGAGATAGGAAGTACCTGGAAAGCTTGAGCTTGAGTTTCATCGTACAGCTGCATCTCACGTGCATGAGATCTCTGTTGGCTCATGAGGCATTCGAGGATAATGGTAGTTCCTAGAAAGGAATGGGAATTAAAGGGGTCATTACATGGATTTTTATTTTAATATGTTACTTAAGGGTTCACTTATAATGTTAATAAAGTTTTTTGCACAAAAAAAAAAAATTTTCAACCCTCATTCTGACCCTCTGTCTAAAAATTATCAATTTTTAAGGGGCGGGTCTTGTGTTTTGATTGGCTAACATCATTGCATATGCAACAGTATCAACACCATTTACAGACAAAGCATTATGAAATCATTTACTTATGGGTTGTGATGCAGCTGCAGTCAGATCCAGTACAGCTTCATCTTTTAACAAATGTTTCTTTGCGAACTCTCCATTACATTGTGCCTTGTAAGTTACAAAACAAAATGCTCCGAACAAACATGTAATCCTCCGACACGATCCGGGATGCCATTAAAAATAAACCATCCAGTTGTTACTGACGCTGAGATCCTTCTGAAGTCTGTTCAGAGGCATTAACAAGCTGTTTAAACGCATCAAAGCAAATGTTCTTTCACTCTTCCATTTGTCCTATTGTCGACAGACTCATTAAGTGTGTGGACTATGTCAGAAAGTGAATGCGCAACTGTGAACCGTATCAAAGTCCCTTTAAAGCATGTCACTCGGCGGCCATCTTTGAAACGCCTCTCGGGCATGCAAGTACAGCTCCTATCTCTTTGAATGGGGAAACGTCAAATTCTCCAAAACTGTTCGCTAAGCTTACGATTAAATTTAATATTTGAAATCACCAATGAAATCTGACAACAACTGTCTTATAAATGTTGTTTCTTTTGCTCAAATAGTGTTGAAAAAAGCTTATAATTCGGGCTAGACCAGCCAGTGTGCATGCCGCAGTTATAAGCACACGTATCCGAACGCTGACTGTTTCTATAGCAACCAGGACTTCTAACGGCAGCTACAGTGACTTTACCGATTAGCTCTTTTACTCAGAAGGCGGGGATTCCTTCGGTAGAGCGCCATATTTTGCGTTTCCTATCAGACGTCAAATAGACGTTTAGAAGATAATTTAGACTATTTAGAAGATGTTTATGACTTAGAATGAATGTAAAACTGACATCTTAAAGACGTCTGTCAGATGTTTGTACACAGCAGATGCTTTCCAGATGAAGCGATCTTTAACAGACATCTTGCAGACGTACCTGTGCTATCTGGGTATAATGAGGAGGTCGTTTTAAGCTATGAAACTTGCAGGATGTTTTAATGGTACAAAGACAGCTTTATATGTCAAAAGATCAAGGCAAATCCTTCTACTTATTGTCATCTGTCTCCATTTATTTAGAGCATTTTAGGTGGAAGCTAGTTAAACATGGACAGGGAGAGCATAGCACTTGTCCAATGTTGAGTAATTTCTCCAAAGTAATGCTAAATTGCATTAATATACTCAATTTTTTGAGAGAATAAATGTGTCAAAATTCAGTTTTGTACAATAAACAATTGTGGTTGGGAATGTCAAATCTTGGTCCAACCAGTTGGGACACAAGACTAGACTATTGGTCTTGGCAAGCACTGAAAGCGCCAGACGACAAAGTGTGCGAATATAATAAACAGAATGTTATTGTGCGCTGGTATGGATACTAATAGAGTTATCGTTATCTTCATAGTTATAGTTTTTTGTGTGAACTGCCTTGAGACCCAAATGAATCTGCTTGATGGGTGTAGTTAGTGTTAAGGTTTTTTTGGGTTGTTTATATATAGCCAATAGCTTTTGCTTTAATTCCCAGCCATTAGCATTGTTTATGACTTAGAATGAATGTAAAACTGACATCTTAAAGACATCTGTCAGATGTTTGTACACAGCAGATGCTTTCCAGATGAAGCGATCTTTAACAGACATCTTGCAGACGTACCGGTGCTATCTGGGTATAATGAGGAGGTCGTTTTAAGCTATAAAACTTGCAGGATGTTTTAATGGTACAAAGACAGCTTTATATGTCAAAAGATCAATGCAAATCCTTCTACTTATTGTCATCTGTCTCCATTTATTTAGAGCATTTTAGGTGGAAGCTAGTTAAACATGGACAGGGAGAGCATAGCACTTGTCCAATGTTGAGTAATTTCTCCAAAGTAATGCTAAATTGCATTAATATACTCAATTTTTTGAGAGAATAAATGTGTCAAAATTCAGTTTTGTACAATAAACAATTGTGGTTGGGAATGTCAAATCTTGGTCCAACCAGTTGGGACCCAAGACTAGACTATTGGTCTTGGTCATGAGAGGTGACTTCGTGTCAATGGTTCGAGTTCTCAGTTTGATGTTTGATGGGACTGAGCAAGAGACAATTATTCAATCACGCTGATGTATTTCCTGAAGCTCCGCGCTTGTTTCCTCATTACGCTAATTGAGTAAAAATTGGCTCAGAAGGTGCAGCGCAGCTATCAAGAGGATTAGGTTTATCAGATGACAATGTAAAGCCCTCTGATCCTATTAGACGCAAAGCAGCTAACACAGAGGAGCTGTGTCAGCTCACCGGGGGGAAGCAATGAGAAAGACGAGAGGCAGAAAGTTAACTGTTGTACACAATGTTTTGTATATGGAAAGTATTTCATTCAATTCAGCTCATGACCATAACAACTAGCTCCACCCTTTATGTGAATGATAATAGCACATAAAATGGACTTGGTGAATCCAACATTTAACCAAAATAAAGGCCTGTTCACACAAAGGAAGATAAGTATAACATTAATGATGAAGATCTAGTTTTAAAAAAATAACGACATAGAGGAACAATATCACTGGAATCACTTCAAAGCGTTTTTTTTTCCAGCTGATGAACGATAAGAAGTTTGACGGCCAATCAGAATTCATTCTGCTTTAAAGAGCGCAAGCACTGAAAGCGCCAGACGACAAAGTGTGCGAATATAATAAACAGAATGTTATTGTGCGCTGGTATGGATACTAATAGAGTTATCGTTATCTTCATAGTTATAGTTTTTTGTGTGAACTGCCTTGAGACCCAAATGAATCTGCTTGATGGGTGTAGTTAGTGTTAAGGTTTTTTTGGGTTGTTTATATATAGCCAATAGCTTTTGCTTTAATTCCCAGCCATTAGCATGACTTGCTACTTGCTAGTGCTAATTTGTATGATGGGAGTGCATCCAGATTTTATAGAACAAAACATTTGTGTGCCCAAGCGAACAAGAGGACTCATCAAGATAACAAATGCACCATGTCAAATTTTATGAGTGCATTAGCATATAGATGCTAGCCTCAGAGCTAACAGAAAAGGACTAAAAGTCACAAAACTCCAAATATGATTTAACGGGGCCGTTAAAAGGTGACAGTTGTGCAAACCTGACCAGTAAACAAGATTCACTGAGAAGAATATGAATGCTAATGTACAGTTAGCCATATCCACCTTATTTTTCCCGTAAGAGCGGGCACAGTCATTTGTAAATTGAATGTGTCTGGCTTCCAGTGTCATTCACTTCCAGGTGTTTTTAGCTGTACAAAACAACTCGATTTGCTGCTTGATTGCAAACTGGTGTTTCTTACCATATTATTTTAATGTGTCATCTTAATTACAAACACCGGGTTGTAGCGCAAACTGTTTTACCATTTACTGCATTTTGTTATTCTTCTCGTTATTTCCCTACAGCGGCTAATGAACCAGAAGTCTCGCACATTCACAGAAAACGGCTTACTTCTGCATTGAAAAATAAGGTGGATAGCAGTCACTTTGGATCACACAACAAACTAGCGGCATTTTTGCTTACTGATGCTATTGTGTAAATGCACCATTTGCGGTTACCGGCAACTCTTAGTATGATTAATGTATTTTTGCTATTGAAATGGAAGTTCGAGATAAAGTGATCAGTTTTCAACTCATGTAATCTCAAAGATGTCTGCCCCCATTAGGCGACCCACTCAATGTAGAATAAAACGGCTTTTAAAGGGATAGTTCACCCCCAAACCTGTTCTAAACCTACATGAGTTTCTTTCTTCTCTTGAACACAAAAGAAGATATTTTGAAGAATGTTGATGACCAAACAGTTGTCCTAAAACTATATTTGGCCTCAGCTGAACTTGCATGGCATGTCAGGAGGTGGGTATAAACCCTTTAATAGATGAATCCTGTTCAGAGTGACTGACACATGTTTATCCTGCAGTGTTGTCCTCCCAGTTCCCCTGACATCTTTTAGTAATCTGTAGATTAACGCGTAAGACCCCTCTGTCAACCCAGTGAACACACGACTGTGTGCAGTTTACCTGTACAGCGATTAAGCAGACAACCATATGGAGGCTCACGCTGGAATTCAGCATCAGATTCTCACACCCAGCCAGAAATTTAATCACTTTGCTCTCTGGACAAACGTGCAGGTTGATCATGGGACCCCTGTTGGGAAGAGACTTAAAAATGCTAGCCAGTTTAATTTAATCAAATTAAATGAACTCTTTAACCTTTTGCTAATTCAAACCAATGCAATTATAGCAGTCAGTGCAATAATGTGTAGTAAGATGCGTCACACATGTAAACTGCTAAACTAATCATTGTCTAGGTGGTTTTGTGATACGTGGCTCTTGCTTAGTCAAGCATCACTATTACTAGTGCTCATAGTTTCATAGTGCCCCTTACACTAAGTACTAACCATTGTGTAACTACTGTGCTCCAGACATGAATGATTCCTCAAATCTGCTCAGCAATATGAAAAAACCACCCAGAACACCTGTGACTGCATAGCAACTTTTGCATGGGTAGACATCACATCATTAGAAAATCTTGTTTTTGTTAGTAACACACTGTTGATTATTAATGGCTTTTAACAGCTTTCAGAGATGTCTGCTGCATTAGCGACCATGTTATGCCCTTAATTTGTGTTTATGGACTCGTTTGCCCCTGCAGGATCAAAAGACAGTTTACGCGCTTCACAGCCCAGAAAGAACAAGGTTAAACTTCCTCCTTAACACTTAATCTGATACTCTTAACGTTGTTAAAGCTGATGTTCCTCGGGAGGCGCTGACCCGCTTCAGCCTTTAATCGGCTGATTAGATGCCTCACCTGTCAGTCAAACGTTCTCTCCTCCCCCTTATTCTAAAATGGTCCAGAGGCTCCTCCCACTCTGACATCACCGGCTAAATCTTTCCATGACTGAGAGAGAGATTACAGCATGGTGCACGTATACACAAAAACAAACACTTAAAACATACGCTTAAAGATCTTTTCCATTCAACGGTTGTTCATAGTGGTGACTATAAATAATACTATAAATAAAAGTACAAAACTAGTAGTTCTCTTGACTATATTTTAAGTCTTCTGAAGCAATAACTTTATGTGAGAAGCAGGTCCAAACAGTATTTTCAAATACATTACACACAAACACACGTAATACCAAAGAAGACCAGTAGAGGGAGACACTGGTCAAAAGTCACGGATGTTGGTTGATTTAATAGGATTAAATTAGATCAATTAATGTTTGGTTTCTTAAAGCACCCGTCTGCACTGGATGTCGTTTCACTTTTACTCTCAAAACCTCAAAAATGAACCCATGAGCATGAGGAACAATAAAAATAAAAAAAAAACTTTTCAGAACTATTATAAAATCAAAGTTGACATCAGTTGAAATTTACAAATTTACATCGACAAAAAGTCAATTATGATGTAAAAATTCAAAATTATGAGATAAATGGTTATAATTATTAAATACTAAATCAATTATGAGAAAAAAAATCACAATTATGAAAAGTTGAAATCAACAGACAAAATGATTACAAAACCAATTATGAGATAAAAAAGTCAAGATTATGAGTATTAATTATGACAAGTTTAAATTGACAAAAGTTAAGTCAATCATGAACTAAAAAATCTAAATCATGACAAAAAAGGCAATTATGTAAAAAAATAAATAAGAGAAACAGTCATAATTATCAAATACTAAGTCAATTATGAGATAAAAAGTCAAAATTATGAAATATCAAAATTAACCGTCAAAATTATGACAAAAAAGAGAGTCAACAATGAGAGATAAGCTTACCTTATGACAAAAAAGTCTAAATTCTGAAAAGCCGAAATCAACAAAGAGTCATACTTACAACATAAAAAGTTGAAATTTAGATAAACAGTCATAATTATAAAATACCAAGTCAATTATGAGATTAAAAAATCAAGATTAGGACAAAAACTATTGTGAGATTAAAAAGTCTTTGGGAGTCGAAATTATGAGATAAAGTGTTAAAATTTAGAAAAATCTAAATTGACAAATTTAAATAAAACAATTATAAGATAAAAAGTCAAAATGATTACATACTAAGTCGTAATTTATGGAAACAAGTCAATTATGACATAAATTGAAAATATGATTAAAAAGTCAAAATTTTGATAAAATCAAAATAGTAAAAAAAAAAAATCCAAATTCAAGTCAAGATTATGAAACAAGTCGACTTATGTCAATAATTTCTACTTATGTCAATTTTGACATTTTATCTCATAATTATGATTTTCTCTTATGTGGCAGAAATGGGTTTCCATACATAAGAGATCTTTGCTGGCAAGTATTTTTTGGATTGATATTCTCCGGTTATATTGGGTCAAAACTGTGATTCATGCTACATGTGACACGGTTTCTCCGTGAGCAAAATCCACAGCACAGATCTCATCATCTCAACGTCATTTTCCAAAAGTTTCCAACACAGATCATCACTTTATCTTGTGCAACTCACTCATATTCAATCCTACACAAAGTTACCCTTAGTGTCTCCTAGTTTTTAATGGAAAGAGGTTTCTTTTTCCGCGTGAGACGGGAAGAAACCACCGCGCAACCCCCCCAAACATGACCAGGAATGAGCTGAATTTGAATTTATGAGCAGAGATTTGAGATTTCCCGCACATAAACGACCACATCTGCTCCTCAGTGCTTTAAAATCATCTCGAGGAATTACACATCATCCTATTTGAGGACTCATAAATCAGAATAAAGATGAGAAATTCAATCTGCTGACGGTCTCATGGGTGACAGATAAACACCAATCTAATGGCATCGTTCACTGACGACGGATGGATTGAGCAAATCAATGCAATGAAAATAAATCCCATGAACCTTTGGGAAATGATGTTTAGCCTCTTGCTGAGGTGCTCTGGGTGGTTTCTTCCTGTCTGGCAGGAAAAGAGTCCTAAACCATCAAGTCTTTGTGACGTTGTGGTCTCGATTTATTAAGCTTTGAGTCGCTGGCCATATTTCTGGACAATTACAGCACAAAACGAGCAGATACGTGTGCTAATCCCAGATAAACGGGACGTTTCATCAATGTAAAAAGAAAGTGATTAGGATATAGAAGACTTCCTGTAGAAAATCCATTTATTACTGTTGTTACAATAAATACATTTCTGAATTGCATGTACAACGTGAGCAGAAAGTCTCTTTCTTTACAGGACCTCGTTGAGGACTGAAGCAGATAATAAAGCATGTGCAATTATGAATTTCAGCATTTGTGAGAAACCTGTCAGGAATAATGGGTCATGTTTCAGCCTAAAATCAAGAAGGGGAAAAAAAGAAACTAAAGCCTGTTAATTTTTTTAAAACAAAATAAATCTCATTACCGTAAAATAAAATATAAAATTATAATAATAACCATGTGTCTGGACATTTTTCTTGTTTTAAATTCCAAATACTGTACTATTATATAATATTTGCATTTGCAATTAAACAAAAATGTTTAATTGTACATGCAAAAAATTTACATTTTGATTTTCTTTATGCTAATTATAATTGTAGTCATTGGTATGACATTATTTTGATTACTATTAAGCACATTTTCTCCCAAATTCACATTTGTATTTATTTTGATAATAAATAATAAATAAAAATGCAAAACAACAACAAAAAATGCATACATGTATAAAATATATTGAGTAATATAGGTACGGGAAGAAACCACCGCGCAACCCCCCCAAACATGACCAGGAATGAGCTGAATTTGAATTTATGAGCAGAGATTTGAGATTTCCCGCACATAAACGACCACATCTGCTCCTCAGTGCTTTAAAATCATCTCGAGGAATTACACATCATCCTATTTGAGGACTCATAAATCAGAATAAAGATGAGAAATTCAATCTGCTGACGGTCTCATGGGTGACAGATAAACACCAATCTAATGGCATCGTTCACTGACGACGGATGGATTGAGCAAATCAATGCAATGAAAATAAATCCCATGAACCTTTGGGAAATGATGTTTAGCCTCTTGCTGAGGTGCTCTGGGTGGTTTCTTCCTGTCTGGCAGGAAAAGAGTCCTAAACCATCAAGTCTTTGTGACGTTGTGGTCTCGATTTATTAAGCTTTGAGTCGCTGGCCATATTTCTGGACAATTACAGCACAAAACGAGCAGATACGTGTGCTAATCCCAGATAAACGGGACGTTTCATCAATGTAAAAAGAAAGTGATTAGGATATAGAAGACTTCCTGTAGAAAATCCATTTATTACTGTTGTTACAATAAATACATTTCTGAATTGCATGTACAACGTGAGCAGAAAGTCTCTTTCTTTACAGGACCTCGTTGAGGACTGAAGCAGATAATAAAGCATGTGCAATTATGTTCATTTTTAATTAACTACCCAAAACGCATGAAACGGAAATAAAAACATAAATATGAAGTGTGATGAATAATAAATTAGATGTACTTTATACACACGTGGTGAGCGCCTGCAGAGATGAGTTCAAGCGGCCGCGTGCTGTTTGCCGAGCTCTTTCTCCAGCCGCTCTCGGAGCTTGAGGAAGGACGGTCTCCTCTTGGGCTCCGTCTCCCAGCAGGACGACATGATGCTGTAGACGTCAGGAGGACATCCGTCCGGCGGCTCCATGCGGTAACCCTGATCCACAAGCTCCCGCACCTCACTCAACGACTGCAACACACACCAGCAGACAACATCACACCCGCAGGAAGAGGACGCATGAGTGCATGAGTTTACAGAGAGGAACGCACCATTTTGGGATACGGCTGTCTGCCGTACGAGAAGATCTCCCACAGCAGGACTCCGTAGCTCCACACGTCTGACTGAGCGGAGAACTTCTGCAGGAACAGAGATGTCAGGTGGTGAGTCTGAACTAATTCAGGTGATGAACGTCTCTGATCTCATCATGTGTCTCTCACCTTCTTCTTCAAGGCTTCGGGCGCCGTCCACTTGATGGGTAACTTTGAGTTGTCGGTTGCCGTTGAACTGACCTTGGCCAGACCGAAATCACTGACTTTGGCGACGGTGTCTTCAGACACGAGGATGTTGCGTCCGGCGAGATCTCGGTGCAGGAGTTTCTTTGACTCCAGATGCTCCATACCTTCACAAACATCTCTGAGAAAAACAGAAATAAAACCTCCATGACTGATACACATGCTCAAATATTTCAAAACTAATTTCTAATATGTTTTTGTGTGTGTGTGTGTGTGTGTGTCTGTGTGTGTGTGTGTGTTTTTTAATTTTCTAAAAATCAAAATTTTTCAGGAGCCAACATGAAACTATCGCACATAAACATGATTGGGGAATTTATAATAATAATAATAATAATAATAATAATAATAATAAATGAAGCTTTTTAAATAAATAGAATAAAATAATTGTCATCACGAAATAATATTAATAAATAAAATAAAATGAAGCCTATTTCTTAAATAAAAAAAATTATTCTTACTATGATAATACCAATACCATTACCATAAACCAATAAATATAATACGTACATAAATGAATAAACAATAAAGTAAAAGTAAAATAAATAGTCTTTTTAAAAAATAAAAAAATTGCATTACTTTAATACAAAATAATATTCTTAAATACATTAAAAAAATTAAATAAAGTGTGTTTTTTTTAATTAAAATTCTTAAATCCACAACAATAAAAAAAAAAAAAAAATTTAATAACCCTATTTAAAAATAAAATCATGAATGTAATTCAAAATGATAAATAAATAAAATTAATTAATTAATTAATTAAATATATCCTTTTTATTTAAATAAAAATAAAATATTTTTAAATAAGGTTACTCTAATTACCGTCACACAAAATAGTATTATATTAATAATAAGCATGTGTCTAGAATTTTTCCTTGAGTTTTTATTAAATTCAAAATAATGAAAAATTATGAATTTACATAATCATAACTATTAAACAGGATTTGCATTTTGGTAATAAATGAAGAATAGAGAATTGAGGAGAAAATGGGTTTAATTGGTTATGTACTAAATTTAATCTTGATTTTAATTTCTCGTTTCTTTAGATTTTGGAGTTAAATATGACATGCACCTCTATATTTAAATTAATGTTGCATTGATTTATTGTATTAAAATGAAGGGCTTTAATACTGTAAATGTGAGCTCTTACAGTGCAAAGCGCAGCAGCTGCGTCGCACTGACCGCAAAACGTCCTCGTGATCGAAGAAAATTCACCAGGTTCCCCTGCGACGACACACAATTAACTCAATGAATAAACGTGATCAAACTCAGTGTGTCTGACAGATATTCCTCTGAAAGCGGCACCTTCGTCATGAGCTCGGTGACGATGTGAAGTCCGTTGTGAAGAATCACTCCTAATAACCGCACCAGATTCTTATGATGGAGATTTCTGGAGAAGAGGACATTATGAATATGTAATAAAGACACAGAGCAGGTAACGGAGGAGGAAATGCTCTCACGTCATGACCGACGTCTCTTCCAGGAAGGCCTGAGCGGTTACGTCACATTTGATGTTCTTAACGGCGACCCGCTGGCCTGCGTATTCACCCTCGAACACGGCTGAAATATTAGCAGAACCGTCAGATTCATACAGATAAAACATCTATTATAAAACGGAGAGTTCCGGTCCTTGATGAGGCTGAGCCGCGTTCGAAGCTGTTGTAAATTACTCTACAAAGTAACATACACCTTTGTTTACTTCTGTGTGTTGCTCGGCAACCACTTTGCAACATACATTATTACATTTACAACAACCAAGTCTAATTGATTTGTATCATGTGTAGCACATCATGAGTATCATCAAAACAATCTAAATCAATGTATTATCTCTAATGCTATAACCTCAGGAGTTATGGAGAATTTACATTTATTTGTTTAGTAGATGCTTTTATCCAAAACAACTTACAAATGAGGAATACGACAAATAACATGAGAAGCGCTTAAAATACAAAAATTCAAATATTCTACAGAACAGTACAGGCTTGAATAGAAAGAGAGGAGCCTTTAAGAAATAGTGATGCATTTTTGTTTTTAAACATACCCTGCATATTTATACATAGCTACATATAATTTAAACTGAACGAAGTATACATAAAAATGCATAACAGTTTTAATTTATTTAACATTTTATATTTATATATAATGACATATATTTAATTGCTATTTAATTATATTGCTTTTTAATAATATTACATGCATTTAATTTTTAAATCGAGTTAATTGAATATATGTATTAATTTAATTAATTATTAATTAAATAATGTATTAATTTGTTAATTTATTTATAAATTTTTAATTTATATAATGTATAGGTATTTATATTTATGTATAATATATATTTCTACTTTTTAGTATTACGTTAATTTGATTCATATATATAATTAGTATATTTATAACATTTTATTTTAATTTATGCATTCATATTTTTATGGAATATTACATTATTTTTTTATCAATTTAAAAATGTACTATAAGTACTATCAACCACATTATTTATTTATTTATTTATTTTATATATGACGCACTGGATTGCCAAGATAAAAATGGGTTTAAAACAGCATAAAATAATTTATTTCTAAAATGCTAACTGAACGCCACTCACTGATTTAAACACAATGTAATGAGGTCATGTGACATGTAGCATACTGTGCATAATATACTTTTTACATATTATTTGTAAATACAGTGTGCACTTAGCAGTAAGCTAGTGCTCCGTTCAAACGCTGCTCTCTAGTGGTACTACAATAACAGTCCACAGGAGTCACACATTCAGAAGGAAAGCATACCACCGAACTCTCCCTCTCCGATGACCTCTCCTAACGTCAGCATCGACAGATCCAGAAGCCAGCCGGCTGGAACACAGAGCCAGATTTACAGTGTTACACTCCTAGAAATCCATCCTCAGGTATTTCTGGACCTCTTTTAAGTCACACTTACACTTCAACAGCTTGGTCTCGGCAGATTTCGTGCCTTCCTTCTTCTTGGGCTTCAGCAGAAGCGTAGCGAGGGCGCCTTGATTTCTGCTGTGAAACTAAAACAAACACAGCATTCACAAAACCAGCCGTATCTACAAACCACATGTGTTTTGAGTTTAAAAACGAATCCCCTTTAAATTCCCAATAAAGTCTTCAAAACATCAGCTACAGTTAGAAAGTGTGATGCAACGTCTATAAGAGGGAGTTGAGATGAATTTCCTATACTTTATCTAAATCATGTTTCAAAATGTAATAAATTAATGTAAAAATCACAGAGGCATTGCAAAAAAAAAAATCAAAAATAATAATTATAAATAATAATAAATCATATTTAAAAAATACTTTCACACCACACTGCCACTTAAAAAAAGCTCAGATGTGATAGAAAAATAAACAAAAATTAAATTAAATTTAAAAAATAAAATGTTATACCTTTTATTTTTATATTTATTTTTATTTTAAATGAAATCAATGTTTATATTTAATTAATATTATATATAGGTATATTTAGCAAAAAACTTTTTTAGCAAAAATAGCCTCAAAATATATCTATCTATCTAAAAAAAAAATCAATACATCAAATAAAAAATAGATGTCACACTACATGACCTCTTGACTGCCAAAAAGAAAAAAAGAAAAGAAAAAGAAAGAAAAACTGTAAAAGTGCCCACCCAAAAAACTCGATACGAAATGTGAAAAAGGCATTGTTAAAAATGAATGTCACACAACACAACCAACTTTTAACCTATTTCCCCTTCAAAATCCCCCAAAACTGGTCAAAACCATTTGATGTTCACCGCTAACGAGTGGCCCAGTTCTCCTTTCCCCTCGAAAACCACAGCGCGGATGTGTCTCTGGAAACCCGAGATAAATGAAGAAACGCGCTCAAATTAGCCGCCGGACGCACCTCGATCATGTCGATGAGGTTGTAGAAGAACTGCTTGCTGTCGATGCTCAGTTTGTTGTCTCTGAAGATGACTCGGTAGTGGAAGACCTTCTCACTGAAGCAGACGCACAGCACGAAGTCGCCGGGATGCCGAACCGACTCCCGCACCAGGAACAGCCCGTCCTCCGTGGGCTTGAGTTTGCCGACAGCTTGCGGTCCCGATATTTTGCCGTGAAACCATCTGAGAAGATTGTAGACAACATCAGGCCTTAAATAAGCTCTGCTGACATAAAATAACCACATCCTGTCCTTCTGTGGAGTGACTGCGAGCTTGTTCCTCATCACTTCAGATTTCTGCTCACTTACGGCATCAGGCTTAATTTGGGGTCTATTCGGAGGGCTTCCCTTTCTCTGAGGTTCGAACCCGAGATCAGTCCTTCCTCTCCCGTTGTGTTATGTCGGGCTCTGTATTCCCCTTTCCTCTGAAAACAAACTTTAGTCAACCTCTGGTGACTTTATTTGGGAGAATGGGTTTAGGAAAAGTGCTTAATTACCGCTCCAGGTCCGGCGACAGTCAAGACGTCGCCTTTGTGATACGCTACTTCACCCGCTTTAGGTGTGCAGTGCTGCTTTTTGGCGACGCACTGAGTTCCTGCCGTCCAGTTCTTCTGGAGTAATAGCAGAGTAATAATAATAATAATAATAATAATAATAATAATAGAGTAAGTAGTCAGAAGTGAGGCGTCGACTAATATTTATCAGAATGTCTCGCTTACCATGGCCATGGGTTTATTGAGCACCGAACATCTGAAGAGCCTCAGACCTTCAACCTGATGGAGAGACTGCGGTTAAAAGCACACAAGAAAAGATCGGGCATGATGATTTAGCATGTTACAGCCGTGTAAAATGGTGTACTTCATCTAAATTAGGTTTCTAAAAATGTTAAAGAGAAAAAAAAGCCCCAAAAATGTATTCCAAAAAACCAAAAAAAAAAATTTTTTTTTTGGCATTGCAGAGGTGATTGAAATTGTGATAAATGGCCCCAAAAACAAAGAAAAGGTCCAGAAAGTATTTAAAAATTAAAAAAAAAAAATTGCACATTAATTCAATAATAGCAATAATTAATATCAAGCCACATAGCCACTTTAAAATATGATTAAAGGTAATCAAAATGGCCCAAATTCATTATAAAAAATCAAATACACACATGAATTCAATAGTCACACTGCCAAAAAAAATATATATTAAATGGTAAAAATGGTGAATGGTGAAGAGAAAAAAAAACTCAATGTGAAAAAAAAGTCCCCAAAAACCTAAATGCATATGAATTGAAAAATATATAAAAATTAATATTACACTAAATTGGCACTTTAAAAAAAGTTGAAAATCCTCAATCTATGCTAAATGCTAAATAACAACAACAACAATAATCACACCATGAAACCTTGACTGCAAAAAAATTAAATAAAATAAACAAGGTGATAAAAAGTAAAAAAATTATAATAATATGAAATGTTGTCACATTTCATAAAAAAATTAAAAAAAAAAGTATTTTAAAAGTGAGTGTACAAAAACGTAAAATAAATTAGTCAATAAATAAATAAAAACCCACATTCAAAACTTTGTAAATTTTGCATAACCCCTTGCCTGGAAAAAAGCTAAGTTATTTAAAATGTGTAAAATGGTACAACAACAAAAAAAGCGCCTCTTACCGCTTATAGTAACTGCTAAAAAAGCCAAAAGGCAACTAAAATAAAGGGAAAAAAACAAAAATAAAAAACACCTTAAATACACACAAAAAAATGTTTAATGTGCATATACTTACTAGAGATCAAGATTATAAAACATCAATCCACAAGAAATCCTTACACACAATATAGTTAAACATTAAACTAGTAGTCTTCTTAACCCAGTGCTGTATGAAATGAAAACAAACAAACAAACTATATTCTTCATATTTTTCAGGTTTCATTTCACTCACCAGTATGAGTTAGTTAGTGAATATGTTGCTTTTAATTAAGTGCCATTAATATGTCAAAGTGCCTAATAGAGCTAATGTGATGTAACTTATTATATGGCGGTCGCTGATGGGCAGCGATGTTCAGTCATCATCTGATACGCTGAAAACGAGATGCGACTGCTGCATTTCAGGAGCATTTCGGCTTATTTTCAGCTCAGATGTAATAGAGAGACGTATTGCATCATAAAAGGTGAACGACTAAGTTTTTTCCATCTATTGTCCTTTTGAAAAACAGAACCATCGAGTGTTGTATTTTTTCCTCTTCGAGTGATATTTATACATTTCTAAAGACATGACAGCTTGTGTAGATTAGGCAGACGTCTCAAGGGTCGTGAGAATAGTCTTTTTTATCCTTCTTTCCGTCGGTTTCTCCCTCGCCGGTGTCGCTGCCGTCGCGCCGTCTCTTGCGGTTTCGAGCTCCGGCCTTTGAGACCGGCAGTGAGCCCATGCCGAGGACTTTATGGATCTGACGGAAAGCCAGCAGTCGTAGCGCGTGCTGAAAAACAAAGACACGTCGCTTTCAGAATAAGCATGGATCACGCAAATGGAAATGTTGGCTAGTCGAGCCTCGTTTAGTACCTGGGCACTAGAGGTCACGTCCTCCCGAGCTTGTTTCGACATGTTTCCCAGAGCGTCCGTTTGACCTTTCTCACACGGGTCAAGAAGACCTGGACCATCTGAGGGGAGGACAGACAGTTAAATAATATAAATGTAAGTGCACACGGGTTACAAAACGTTTTGCGAAAGATGCATTTGTGATGTATTTTAATAGTTAGAAGGTAACTACTGCATCTCACCCAGTGTTATTAACTAAATCTAAAACTATTAAAAATCGTTTTTGTTAAGTGAAATAAAGCTGAAATAAAACAAAATATAAATGTTACATTTAAAATTTGAAACGCAAGTGAAATTTAGAAATGTTGCCTTGGCAACTAACTGAAATAAAATAAGTTTAAGAACTAAAATTAAAAGTGAAACAATAATAAATTAAACCCAAATAAAAAATTTAGAAAAACAAAAAATAATAAAATGACAAAAGCACATATCAAAATTGCTTCGTCTTATTCCAGTGTTGTTATTCTTAACTCAAACTATTAAAAAATAAAGCTTAAATAGAATAAAAAGTAAATATTAGATTAACTTATTTTATTTCAGTTAGTTGCCAAGGCAACATTTCAATTTTCATTTATTGTTTTTATAAAATGTCAGTACTAAAATTACTAAGAATAAAAAAATAAAAATACATTAAATCTAAACAGAAATATTTAAAAACTAAGTCTAATAAAAATGGCAAAAGCGCATAAAATTATTGAATCCTACACCAGTATTGTTATTGTTAACTAAAACAGGTTCCATTGCAATGAGGCTGAAATAAAATCAAATCTAAATATTAGATGAAAAAAAGTACGCAAAAATTTGAAATGTTGCCATGGAAACTATCTAAAATAAAATAACTTTAAGCTGAAGTACTAAAATTACTAAAACTGAAATAAAAATAAATTAAAGCTGAATAGAAATGTTTGGGGAACTGAAAACTAATAAAACTGAAAAAAAAAGCACAAAACAAAATTGCTGTGTCGTATCTCGTTGTTAACTAAAACTATTAGAAATCATTTTTGTTAATGGAAATAAAGCTTAAACTAAAACATGAAATTTAGATGAAAGATCTAAACTTAACTTAATTAGAAAAGTGGCAACTAACTTATAGTAAGTTTAAAGTGTAGTAGTAATTAGAAATGTGGCCTTGGCAACTAACTTAAAGTTAGTTAAGATGAAGTACTAAAATTACTAAAACTGAAATAAAAATCAATTAAAGCTATATAAAAATATTTTGAAAAATAAAAACTTATAAAAATTACAAAAGCACGTAACAAAATTACTAGAATTAAAAATTAAAATCAAAACTGAAAATAAAATAAAATAACTATAATAGTATATAAATTATAATATATAAATATTAACCTGGCAGGAGAATCCCGGTGGCGATGCATTCGAGGACCCTCCGTAGAGCTTCTCCAGGACTGAGTGGACCTGATGCACTGCTAATGGCTTTTTCCACAAGCAGCTCCATGGCCTTTGCGAAAGAAAACACAAACCAGTTAGTTAATATGATCATGACTGGCTAAAGCAAAAAACACTGTTAGCAAACAAAGCTAACTGACCCAGTCGGGCATCTTGCCCCAGGTAGGTATGCGCTGACACAGATCCCGCAGAACCCGAATAATGATGACGCAAGACTGAAGACCGTTCGCCCGAGCCTGTGGACAAAACTCATTAATACGCAACAATCACAGCTAACAGCAGCACTTCAGTTAACAACACAAATTTAAATGTTAAATGATAATGCTGATGCTACTAAAATTATTCAACGGTTGAGTCTAAGACCAGAATCATACTCGCAAGTGCACAGTTCCATTGTACACGCTTAACTACAAATTTAGATAGTTAGCTAGCTAACATGCTAACCAGTTGACGATAAACTAAACAGACTTGCTCTGCGATATTCTTTTCAAATAGTTGCTCCTGAAAATGAAAAATAATCGCTGAAGAAAAGTTCACGTTAATGTCCTTTAGAGCACCCCTTGTGGCAATACTGAAAATAAGATGCACTAGCAATGCGTTCTGACAGAATCATATTAAAGAAATCGAACTTGTGTTGATAGAAGCAATAAATACTTGTATACGGTATGATTGGGGTTTAGGCAAAAGTCAGTACCATGTCGGTTAGCTACGTGTATGTTTCCCAATAGCGATTTTTTTAAAGTCAATTTAGTGCTTAAATAATACTTAAAAAATTTATCTACATTTAGCTACCTTTTGCTAGTAGCTTGAAGAGCAGCAACTCATTTTTCAGAAATATTTTTTTATGCATGTCTAACTCAACTACGTTACTATAATTTCCTGTAGCTATGTAAAGCATAACATGATGACGCAAGACTTGAAGACCGTTAGCATAAGCCTGTGGATAAAACACAATACGCAACAATCACGGCGAGCAACAGTTAATAAAAACTGTAAATGCTAACTGAAAAATGCTAAAGCTAAAATGTTACTAAAATTAAACAACCGTGAGTCTAAGACCAAAAGCATACTCTACGGAAGTACGCGAACACACAGTTCCATTGCACATGCTTAATTACAACTTATTATTCAAGTAATTAGCTAGCTAACATGCTAGCCACTTGCCAATCAACTTAGCTGACTTGCTCTGCGATATTCCATTCCAAAGGTTGGTACTGAAAGAGAAAACTGACCTAAGAAGAAAAAAGTCTATGCTAATGACCACTATAGTGCCCCTTGTGGCAATACTGAAAATAAGATGCACTAGTATTGCGTTACTAATTGTGTTCTGACACATTTAGAAACTCAACTACGAATGAAGTCAGCCCTTGCATTGATAGAAGCGACACTTACATAGAGGATGATTCAGATTTAAGCGAAAGTGAATAGCATGTTGGTAGCTAAATTACGTTTTCTCAATAAAGATTTTTTAGCTATCAAGTCAATTTAGTGTTTAAATAATACTTCTTCAAATCTTCAAAAAATTCACTATATTCGAGCTACTTTTCGCTAGTAACTTTGTAGAATAGCTACTACGTTTTCAGAAAGATTTTTTAACTTTATGCCTAATGTAACAATGTTACAATTTAACAATGTAACTGTTAAATCATGAGTTGCTTGTAGCATAGCAAAATATAATTACAAAGGAGCTTCTCCGACACTTTTCACAAGCTTACAGATAACATGTCTACTGCCATAAAATATTAAAGGGTTAGTTCACCCAAAAATGAAAATTAGGCTGTGTTTTACTAACCCCCGAGGCATCCTAGGTGTATATGACTTTCTTCTTTCAGACGAATCCAGTCAGAGTTATAAAATTTGTTAAAAATTGTCCTGGCTATTCCAAGCTCTATCGTCACTTCTGAGCGGCGCACGCGCAAAACCGAACTCATACGTCATTACCCCGGAGCTGCTTCCGTTTAGAACAGTGAGCGCAAACTAGATTAAAGTGATTATTACGTTTTAAATATTTAAATATGTTCACCCCCCGGAGCCGTGTGAGACACTTTTTTTTTTTTTATGGATGGGGGCTTTTTATTTAACTTCTTTTGGACTGAAGCAATGCAAAGAAGAAAGTTTCAATATATACAGAAATATACACCTAGGATGCCTCAGGGGTGAGTAAAACACAGCCTAATTTTCATTTTTGGGTAAACTAAACCTTTAAATACAATTCAAACGTATCCTAAATTAGTTATTGTAAACTTTCGAAGCCCCTTTTTTTTTTACCTGAAACCATTTAGCATGTCGCAGAGCCGCTAAATACTCAAGGCACTTGGTCCTGCCGAGAACATCCGGAGGGTCTTTCTCCGAGGCTGCAAGGGCACATGTAGGAAACATTGTCAATTGTATTTAATGATTTAGCAATCGTAAGAAAAAGTAAGTAGATCTTGTTGATATAAAATTATTGTTGATTAAATGACACAGAGTTTTTTTAGGGGATTTGTGGCAATAGGCTGTGTTAATGTGATCATTACAACACACGGCAAAACAAAGTGACAACACTGAAACGTCACAAGACGAGGGGTTTTCCGCACGTCCAGGTTCCTAAAAAAACTGTTGCAATGTTATGCAAAAGATGTAGATGGAAAATATTACTGCTTCGGTCTGTTAATGCATGATTAACAAACCCAAACAGGACAAGTGTGGAGAACCACTTTGGTTTTTTGGTTGTTTGAAAGAAATAGAATATCGTTAACAAAATAAAACAACAACGACCTCAGGTTACAAGTCGGAATTTCAGAGGCTTTTGAGATCACTGTTCAGAAACTTCAGGATGAGAGGATGAAATTGTTTTAGGCCACATGGTGGATGATAAAATCCATTTTCTCCAACGTTAAATACTAATAATAAAACTGTAGATTAGGTTTTGTCTTATTTATAGACGCAAAACACCAAAATGTTGCTGCTATCACGCAAACTATTGTGAAACTATTCGTACATTTTCAGTCCCAAAATATTAAAGTGGCCGCATTGTTTGATTATGTACAGGAGTGACAAACGTATTTTACAACTGAATTTCTGCATTAAGAAAGAGCTTGTTTTTACCAAGCAATTTGTATTTTTTAACCAAGAAAATTAATGAATTTACTTTTTTTTTTTTTTTATTCAGGTACTTAAAAGCAAATTGACATAATATTTGCATAGCATACAGAAAAATGAACCAAAGCAACTAGTTGCGAATGCAGAAACGTAATTATGACAAATTAACGTAATTAATAATTACAAGCGGCAGTTTAATGAGCATAAACAACACTTACTATAATACAGTGAGAAACAGTTTTTTTAACTATTAAAAATAATAAAAGTGTAATAATGAATATAATATAAAAATTAAAATAAAAATGAAATGAATTCTTACAATAATTACAATAAAATAATTAATACATTTTTAATAATAAATTGTTACTAAGCCACCGTTAATTGTTAGAAACGTGATGTAGGATCGACTGTTTTCTGTACACACGCAAAAATTAATGCGATTGTCACTCCCAAGACTTTACATCAATCACCGCCTCATTTATATGCACATGAACAACTTGGCCTGAAAAAAAGTTAAACATCTCTCTCATCTTAAAGTGCTCATGTATCTTACAACACAACTTGTACAATATTGCGCCACAGTGGTAAAGAAAGGTCAGAGATCCTGTTTTTGATTCCTTAAAACGCTTTCAAAAAGCAATGCAAAACCGAACAAGGGCAAATAATGGACTGAACCGAAAGGAAAAAAAAAACAAAGAAAATGAAGGAGGGGGGGAAGAAATGAACAGGAAAGCCAATTCACTGATGGAAAATTCAATTCTGTATGGAAATATCCGTATTTTTTGTGAACCAAGGGAACACATAGTGCTGCTGAGGGAAAGCACGGGTTCTCTAACCTTTCTCCATGTTGGGGACGGGGTCTTCGCGCATCACTGGCGAGGTAAGAGAGATGGTGACCTGCATTTTTGGTTCCTTGCTTGAAAAAATGACGATGTTGGCTTCCTCAGGGTGTACCTGCACCTCATACTGATCTTCAGAAAAGGTCTGCCGGTTAAAAGGACACTTTGCATTACTACAGAGGAGACGGCGGGGGTCAATACAGGGGCCTTAATTTGTCCCTTATAATCCCAGTGGTAATTGCCACACTCAAAGTCTTGGCTGGATAATTGCCAGGGTTAATGGTATATAATGCAATGCCCCAGTCTCTCTCTGTGGTGTCGTAACCAGGCAGTGGAACTAAAGATCAGTTAAAGATACACGGACCACAACAGCAGCAGAAGGAGTAAAGTCAAAAGCTAATTTATTCAGAGTTATTTTGAATTATATATGGGTGGATCACACAATAAACCACCAGAAACATGTCTGGGTCATATTTCATCCCAAAAATCAAAGGGGGGGAAAATATATTTTGCATCAAGTAAACTATGTATATTTTTAAGATCACGATGATTTGACAATTTTAATGACATTTAGCACATTTTTCTTACTCAATTAGTCATTACTGCAATGCACAACCATCTCAATCTCATTACTTGTAATGTGAAAAAAAAAAAAAAATGTGTATGTTACTGATTGCATCAAGTAAAGTATATTTTTAAGATTTGACATTATTTTCATGACACTTAGCACATTTTCCCCATGCACTGAGTCATTACCGCAATGCACAACAACCTCAATTTAATGAGGTTTTGTGCTGCATTAATGAGACTTTAGGAAATATGTTTAATTGTCATGAAAATAATTTCGGAAGAATTTATTTAATATAATAATTGAATTGAAAACCATTTTGATTGTTAAACTGTGATAAAAAAAATTATTTTTTTAATATAATTTCATGCATGTTACAGTAATGAGTTTTTTTTAAAACCCTCATGAAAATAACTGAAATGTTTTTTTGTTTTGTTTTTTGTTTGTTTTTTGCAGCATTACGGTAATGGCATTTTAGGAGATGCTTTAATTATCAAAGATTTAAAAAATAACTTAATGGGCTTAAAAATACACTTCAATTGTTTTATGCAAAATATAACAAATTTAAATTTCAAGTATAAATAAGTTTAAATAAATTGAAATATTATACATTTGAACTTTTTTAATCAAAAACAAAAAAAGTTTTTTTTTTTATTTTTTACTTTTGATTCAAGTGTGAAATATGACCTGGACATTTCTCAGTGAGATACACACTTATGACAGCCAAGCTTAAACATAAAACCACACACCCAGCTACATGTTGCTATATATAATCTTGCCATGACACCCGGGACCATGTGATTTCTCATGTGGGCCATTTCCATCCATGTAACAGCCAGAACAAAGGTAAATAAGGTGTTAAAACCACAAGTGCAAAGATACGAGTATAAACAGGTTATAAGTCAATAATAGTTTTCAGCAGCTTCGACATAAACATTTATTTTCCATGCATAGCAACGTCACAAAAAAAGACAAGCTTACCGCTAGTTGTTTGGGCATTTGCTCTGCAACGGTTCTCAATAGAGAGGCGGTGGGTTTCTTGGTCGCTAACAGGATGAGCTGAACGTTGCGGTCGCCGCGTAAGAGGAGACCTTTAGCCAGGATTCCCACGCGCACGACTCCTTTGAGAACACGAGCCTGAGACTCCGACCTGTCCAAAAAGAAGCACATAAATCTACACTTCCCACTACTATTCCATAGCATGAACAGAAAGCTAGCTAATAGGAGTCCTCACTGTTTGTCCGTCACGTCGTCGTCGTCGTCGTCGTCGTCGTCCGCAGCACACGCCTCCTTCTCCAGCAGCGAATCAGACACCAGTTTGAGCGCGCGCTCAGAATGCGACACGATTCGCTGGACGGCCTGAAGCTCCTCCTCCACGGGGTAGATGGCCGAGTGTTTGGCCATGATGTGGCGGTCGTCGGGCGAATCGGGCCGTCGCACGGGCTAAAGATAAATGGGAGGATTGATGAGGTTTACAGCATCAGATTTAGGCCTGACGCAATAATCAATATATCGACTTATCGCACAATATATGTACATGACCTCAATAATTTGTGGTGACGCAATATATCGCCCATTATATTTACTTAAAAATGAATGTCACCATGTTTTTTGCGTTCCACTTGCGCCTGTGTCTTTTGCAACGTGGTGTTCCATCCTAAGCTAGTTCAAATTTTAAAAATGCTTCTACAAAAAAAAAAGTTTAATCTGCAGATATGGTCTTGTTTAGGGATCTGTGCCTTTGTGCATACGGACATCTGACTGCTAAGTAGTGA